GGGAGAAGGGCCTTGGTCAGGGAGGTGACAAAGAATCTGATGGTCACTCTGACAGAGCTCCAGAGTTCCTCTGTGGAGATGGGAGAACATTCCAGAAGAACAACCATCTCTGCAGCACTCCACCAATCAGGCCTTTCTGCTAGAGTGGCCAGACGGAAGTCAATCCTCAGTAAAAGGCACATTACAGCCGGCTTGGAGTTTGCCAAAAGGCACCTAAAGGACTCTCAGACCATGAGAAACAAGATTCTCTGGTCTGATGAAACCAAGATTGAACTCTTTGGCCTGAATGCCAAGCGTCATGTATGGAGGAAACCTGGCACCATCCCTACGGTGAAGCATGGTGGTGGCAGCATCATGCTATGGGGATGTTTTTCAGCGGCAGGGATTGGGAGACTAGTCAGGATCGAGGGAAAGATGAACAGAGAAAAATACAGAGAGATCCTTGATGAAAACCTGCTCCAGAGTGCTCAGGACCTCAGACTGGGGCGAAGGTTCACCTTCCAACCGGACAACGACCCTAAGCACACAGCCAAGACAACGCAGGAGTGGCTTCGGGACAAGTCTCTGAATGTCCTTGAGTGGCTGTAATCGCTGCCAAAGGTGCTTCAACAAAGTACTGAGTAAAGGGTTTGAGTAAATGTTATATTTCAGTTGTATATTTTATTTAAAAACGGGTAAACAACCATTTAAAAAGGATAAACAACCATTTAATCCATTTTAGAATAAGGCTGTAATTTAACAACATTTTTAAAAAGTCTGAATACTTTCCGAATGCACTGTATTTGTAGTGCTTGAATTGGACCGGAGCTGACCAGAGCGCCATACCAACACTTCTAATCTTTGGGGAATTGTGTACCAGCTCTTCTATAAAACAAAGTAGCCTATCGCCGGCCCAGATTCACATAGGAGGCAAAAAAAGGTCGATCAATGCGGAATGAAGGCGGGATCTGCATTGAATAGCAATGGTGAGTGGGCATTCATTTCCTGATTCCGCTTTGTTCAAATGTATTTGCAGCTAGTCTGTGAATCTGTGCGTGACAGTAGGCTGTTCGAGATTGTGCAGACTGAAAATACACCAACCTGAATGCGCTGTTCCAAATTGTCAAATGAGGGATTGTAAGGTCATGAAAAGTAATTAGTTTCATAATTTTTGTTAATGTCATTCATGAAGGTACACTTTTAAATATGATCAATTACTTCAAAATCTACATTTCAGCCATTATCGGAATGACCCTTCTTTGTGTGTTGCATGTGTGCCTGTGCCAGTGGGCCGTTGCCCGAGGAGAGAGACCGCGACAAATCAGCAGCAGGTATAAGAATATGACAGACTAACTAGATGGCAAATTAAAAACATAACTTGTAGCAGTTATCTCGCTAGTTAACTATAGCTAACTAAGCATTAATTAAAGCCAAGCCTGCACAGCCAGGAGCTCTCCAGATGGAAGGTTGACCAAATGTTGACAACATGTGACTAACTGTGCAGTTCTACTTTCTGGGGGATTAAGTGCCATGATCAAGGGTACAATGGCAGGAGATGGTAGGCCTACATGGGATCAGACATAGCAGCCTTCCAGTGTCAATAATACTTACTTCTTCATGTAGGCTATAATAATAGTCATGAAAATGCGGTTAAAAGTCATGGGAAATGTGTTTGAACCCATAACAGTGAATAATCAGAGGTCTCTATAGCATAATGTCATTTGTGAATTTCCATTAACATAGTTCTAATGGACCGACTTGGAAAAAGACAGCTCCAGCACTTCTTTCATCCCAATTCAAGCACTGCCTATATGTACATGGCCACCTCAATCACCTCGTACCCCTGCACATCGACTCAGTCCTGGTACTCCCTGTATAACCATGTTATGTTTTACTCTGCATTGTTATTTGTTATTCACTGTGTATTTATTCCTGGTGTCACTATTTCTATTTGTAATTTCCTTTTTTGTCTTTAACTCTGCATTGTTGAAAAATTACCCGTAAGTAAGCATTTCACTGTTAGTCTTCACCTGTTGTTTACGAAGAATGTGAGAAATAACATTTGATTTTGATTAGATGTTTTTTTTAACAAGCGCTGTGTGTTTGTGTCTGTCTGTTTGTCTGTGTGAGTCTATTTAATGGGGCTAAATAAGACATCCGGACCGGGGCCAGACTCTGGCACGGTGGGCTGGCCAGGTCAGGTCAGTACTGAGGCTGGGTCTGATTCCCATCATTATTTCAAACCTTCATAGGGCACCCAGCCTTCCCTAATCTGGAACTAATGCACATGTGTGGGACCACTCACATCCAGTCTCTTTTTTCTGGGGTAAGGTACTAAAACACTGTCTTTCCCACTTGATAGGTAACTCCTCATAGTCTTCTTTTGTCTTTCATTATGTCTATCATATATTCTCTCTTGAAAATAACAGGTGCACACTGCAAATATTGAGTAACTCTGACCATAATTATGTAAATAAAATAAAAAATGATAAAACATTGTCTAGCATGCATGTCTAAAGAGCCATTCGAGCAGAACACATCTTAGCTCCAATAATAGAATATAGACTTGGGTAACTGGCAGGGGGTTCCCATAATATAATATACAGTATATACCTTCAATTATTTCTAAACAGCTGACATAGAATGGCAACACACATTTTACATGTGAGATAAAAGTGTAAATTAAGTATAAATCTGTGGTAGGTGGTAACATAAAATATTAACAGGTCATATCAGCAATCTCACCAGCATTCAAAAGATAGCTAAAATAGAGTAACCTAAACGCAACCTACATATTTGACAATAAAAACAATATTTACCGGTATGTCATTATTATTTTACTATTTAGTCGTTATACCCATTTCAGCTCTTGCACAACACTATGTCCTATATATTATCATTCCGATGAATGCAGAACACAGAGCGAGAGAGAAAAATGTGCGTTGGATCAGACACCCCTGCTCATGTCTTGTCTCAAAGGGATCTGTACGAACGAGCGAGAGACAGAGCGAGTGTGAGAGAGAAAATGAAGAGAGAGAGAGAGGAGGAGGAAAAACGCTGGGTGCAGGACCCACACGCTGTAGTTCCAGCCAATTGCATTTCAGAGAAGTGACCATGGCTAGCGATAAACAAAGCACAATAGATCATTTCTCTCAGAGCTGGAGCCCAGCGCTGGAGGCTGCGGAAGGAAGGACAGAGAGAGGGAGAGAGAGAGAGCACAATCTATGCACCGGCTTGGGCTATTCTCCAACGCTCAATTCTTTAAGCCTTTTTTCTTTTTGAATGCTATTAAGCCAGCTGTGTTGCATGACTGCTGCACTTTGCACATGAAGAGAGACAGAGAAAGAGAGAGAAGGAGAATATCGCTTCCTTCTGCACCAAGTGTGGGTGCCAGAGCTTCACCTGAAAGCCTCCGCTCAAAAAGCCTTAAATTGTTCCCTCGCATTCCCACAAACAAACAAAAAAACATTTAACACTCACCCGTTTCACTGAGACAGGAGCCGTGCAGCCATTTGAGCGCGATGTCAAAATACACAAGCCCAGATAGTCCCCCACACAGATGTGTAAACAGCACCAGTAAGGTCTCTCTTTGTTTGTTTTTTCCGGGCTGGGTAAGTCTCTCCGTTTGCTGCTGCTTGCCGGATTTTACAGCTTTGAAGCAGGTGGATGACAAAACATCAATCTCTCCAGGCACATTGTGGAGCATGCACAGTTGACACACTCCTCTCACAAGCCCATATATAATCACAAACTGCAATACAGTCATCCTGGTTTGAGGGATAAATATTTGCTTAAAGGGAGTTAAGCCTCAAACCTGCATATAGGAGCACGGCAATACGGTGGCTTTTGTAGTAATCATGGTTTGATTGGATTTGAATAGGAATTGTAATGACATATTCGGCATACGTTAGTGACAATGCGTTTGTAAATTGATACAGAGACAGATGTCTTATTGGATTTCACAATATATGGAATATGAATGATACTGGCAGAATAATTACATGACAGTGTGATTGTTTTGTTGTTTTATGGTCAAGGTAATCTAGTCTAAAAATAGATGTAGCTGTAACGTCAATACCTACCTCAAAGAAGAACACGTTATCTGAGGTTGGCAATGTCACCTGTAGAATAGAATAGAACAGAATAGAATAAACTGAGAATCCTATTACTAAATTATCAGCAATACTTGTATTTCTTAACATATCCCTGTCCCTTACATATTGTCTTTATAATTAATAAAAAAGGAATAACCACTGTAAATACATCCACACATTTTGCTTAGCCTACATTTCAACACATTGACCAGGCCTATGCCTTCCAGAGACCCTTTAGCTACTGCTTTTATACATTATTCGACCATGCCATTTCATTCTTTATACTGTACATCAAAAGTTGTCCATTACCTGTGTGCTATTCATATAAAGGACCAGTTAACAGAAAATCCTAGAAGTAAGGTTAAGCCTATTTCCATGATTGAATCATGTATTTAATTTGAGGCCAACCTAATACAGGGTTATGTCTAGTCAGCAACATTCATGAACCATTCAATATTTTATAAACAGGCTACAACAATAATTCACACGGAGAATGGCAATTGATCATGTGTAATAACTTATAAAAAAAACTTTTCTCAATCAATTTACTTTTGCAGTGAAAGTTGCATAAATACTTAAAATAATAGTAGCCTACCAGAAACACTGCTTAGTTGGCTACTGGCTAATAAAGTTTTGTAATTCAAACCGAAACCTGTGTGACGTATTTTAGACTTTTTTTTTGCGGGAAAAACAGTTAGCTGGCTAGCTACTCAACCAAAAAGAAAGTTATCGGTTTGGGTACAAAGGCAATGCTTGTATTTCTGAAATACCTTTTTCTCAAACGCACTCTTAATTAATGTTCAAGTGGCACGAACGTGAGTACTGTATGTAGCTGCACGCTTGAAAGTTGTTTACATGCTAGCATGGTCAGCTAACCATGTTGTTATGTTAGCCCAATACCACACAGCTGACTTCGAACTGTCAAAGATGGAGAGTTTACTTGTCAAAGAGAGTCCACTGTTGTTACCACTCAACAAGGAGAAAACTGTCTATGATGGATTTATCACGGTTCAGGTGGGACAAATATTTATGGTTTCGCTAGGTACTTGCGCTACAGTCAAGCCAAGATATAATGTTGTATCTTTGACATCAATTGTAGTGTTGTTGGCTGTGTAGTAGTAGTAGTAGTCGCGCGCATGTGTCGATTCTTGGACAGTCAACTGTTTATGTAGAAGTTGCCAGAAGAACAAACCACTTTCTTGACAGATCTCATGGTAATATGTATGGTTTGAACATGATCAGATGGCCTACTTTATCTACTTTTGTTGCTATTTTATTTTAGGAGAGAGACTTCAGAATAAGAATACTGCTTCCACCAGATCATCAACTTAAACTGGCTAAGTACAAGTCCCCTGTATTCTATTTGTGTGTGTGTGTGTGTGTGTGTGTGTGTGTGTGTGTGTGTGTGTGTGTGTGTGTGTGTGTGTGTGTCAGAGAAAGACAGACACAAGGAATTGTCTGTCAATCTGTCTCTCTGTTTGTCCATCTGTTTCTTGCTTTCTCTCTCTACATGCACAGAGACAGACTTACGCAGAGGAATGGTGGTGTCAAACTTAATGATACATGTTGCTTGCCCTCTTAGATACCCTGAATGAATTATATATCACTCTAGTCCCCTGGATCAAATGGAATCAATGATTTATTACATATCATTCTGCATTGCAGGCTTCACTGCTGCTGGCAGCTGAAACAGCTATTGTGTGCATATGGGCACATAGTAAAACAGGTAAGAAAAAAAATGGGGCAATCCACACCAACACTTTAATAACTCTAATCAATTGAGAGGCCAAATAATTTCAGATGAAGATGTTGTCAAGGATAGGTAGACTGGACTGCTTAGTGGACTGTATGTTCACTTATGCATTCCATCACTTGCTGTGTTTGACTCGCTTGTTTAAAAAAATATTTTCCACTGCATAATTAACATTGCCTTGGAAATGTCCCTATTTGTTATGTGGTCACCTCTGGGTTATTGGGATTAGATTTATATTTTACCCCAGGCTGTAAAGTTCATTATTTTCACAGGCTTTAAGCTATCATTAATTATTAAACCTAGTGGCAGGCTCCATTAATCAAAACATTGGCCTTGATTTGAACAGCTACTAAGTTGGTTTGAAAGAAGACACTACAGTAACACTTCATTTTCCAGCTAATCAGAGATCTCTCTCATTGTTTTGTCTTTTCACAGAGATTACATCACTCTCCTGATCTAGTCAGCTTTGTTCTGGAGCTGAAGACTATCCTGGTAAGAGCATCAGTTTTTACCTCTCAGATTGATATTGACATATTCCTTGATGCCATAATAATACATACAGTAAAATAATACTGTACTAAAATGCTGGCGATTGAATGTAAACAGAAAGTGTTCTGTGTTCCAGGAAGTGGCCCTCAAGAGCAGGCCGGATTGTCGCTCCATCCCCCCTCCACAGTACTACTCTCAGCTGATCATTGAGATGGAGGACCTGGGATGGGATAAGTATGTACTGGAGCAAGTAGGGATAGGGCCAGGAGCTTTACCACTTGACCTGACTTGGAAAAACTCTGGTCATAGAGTATAACCTACAACTATGACCTGCAGTATTTCCTGTTGAGTTCTATTATACCAGCCAGTGACTAACTATTACCCTGTAGCTACCCTACCATCAGGCTAACCCCATAAAATAAAGGCTTAGGACAATATTATACCACATTAATAACTGACTGATAATTACATCCTTATTTTTTGTTATTGAGTTATAGTTAAAGCCAGATCCCATTTAATGACACTGCCTAGCTATGTGTCAGCCAGGGCCAATACCATCTTCTCTTTGTGACTAGTGATGCATCTCAGCTACCATTTAGCTCGGCTACTCATTTTCCACTTTCCCTATTAATGACCACAGCTGCAATTATGATATTAGCAAATGCAAATTGGTCTAATTGAAGACCCTACTCTTAGGTTTAATGGGGGGGATGTTGAAGTTATGTGGAAATGAGGTGAACGTCATTTCAATGCTGTATTACCTTTAGAGGCATTACGCAGCAGGCCTATCTCAATGCACTCGAGATTCGTTTAGCGTCTTAATTGGCAGTGGCATTAATAGCCTGGGATTTTCACTTGTTCACTCATTTTGTCCGCTGATTGGTGCAGGTAAGAGAGGCTTGCGTTGAGCCTGGTCATTTGAATGGGCTTGAGACTGCCTTGAGAAGTCATGAGTTAGTGAATGAGAATACAGAGTCAAGTATCTCCACTCCAGCCCCCTCTATGGCCAAAACACATTCTTTGTTGGGCATCATTAAATAGACACAACTTTATTCCATATTCACCACTCTTTGGGGCATATCAACTTTTTTTTTTGTCTGTGTCTGTTTGAAGTAAGAGGTGTGTGAATGTGTTGTTGCGTTCACCTTTGTGTATTGCTCTTCAATCTGCCTTTAGGTTTCCCTAAAACCGTATACCACGTGTCAATCTCATTCCACGGAGGGCCGAGTGTCTGCGGGTTTTCGCTGCTCCCTTGTTCTTGATTGATGAATTAAGGTCGCTAATTAGTAAAGAACTCCCCTCACCTGGTTGTATAGGTCTTAATTGAAAGGGAAAAAATCTAAAACCCACAGACACTAGGCCCTCCATGGAAGGAGTTTGACACCCCAGCCGTATACTTTGCCTTTACCCCAAATGGCCATTCATCCATTGTAATCGATATAGGTGTCACATCTTCCTAACTTGGAGTAGTCTGCTATGGCTTCATTCAATCTCCAGCCTCCCTCCAGGATAGCTACACCAGAGACGTGTCCTATACCTCCATAGTCTATCCAAACATAAAGTTGCCTACTTACTGGTGAAATAGCCTGCAAGTGGACTTACAGTGCCTTCGGAAAGTATTCAGACCGCTAGATTTTTTTCCACGTTTTGTTACGTTACAGCCTTACTCTAAAATGGATTAAATAAAACTTGATTGGAGTCCACCTGTGGTAAATTCAATTGATTGGACATGATTTGGAGAGTCACACACCTGTCTATATAAGGTCCCACAGTTGACAGTGCATGTCAGAGCAAAAACCAAGCCATGAGGTCGAAGGCATTGTCCGTAGAGCTCCGAGACAGGATTGTGTCGAGGCACAGATCTGGGGAAGGGTACCAAAAAAATTCTGCAGCACTGAATGTCCCCAAGAACACAGTGGCCACCATCATTCTTAAATGGAAGAAGTTTGGAACCACCAAGACTCTTCCTAGAGCTGGCCGCCCGGCCAAACTGAGCAATCAGCGAAGGGCCTTGGTCAGGGAGGTGACAAAGAACCTGATAGTCACTCTGACAGACCTCTAGAGTTCCTCTGTGGAGATGGGAGAACCTTCCAGAAGGACAACCATCTCTGCATCACTCCAGCAATCAGGCCTTTATGGTAGAGTGGCCAGACGGAAGCCACTCCTCAGTAAAAGGCACATGACAGCCCGCTTGGAGTTTGCCAAAAGGGACCTAAAGACTGTCAGACCATGAGAAACAAGATTCTCTGGTCTGATGAAACCAAGATTGAACTCTTTGGCCTGAATGCCAAGCGTCACGACTGGAAGAAACCTGGCATCATCCCTACGGTGAAGCATGGTGGTGGCAGCATCATGCTGTGTGGATGTTTTTCAGCGGCAGGGACTGGGAGACTAGTCAGGATTGAGGCAAAGATGAACAGAGCAAAGTACAGAGAGATCCTTGATGAAAACCTGCTCCAGAGCGCTCAGGACCTCAGACTGGGTCGAAGGTTCACCTTCCAACAGGACAACGACCCTCAGCACACAGCCAAGACAACGCAGGAGTGGCTTCGGGACAAGTCTCTGAATGTCCTTGAGTGGCACAGCCAGAGCCCGGACTTGAACCCGATCGAACATTTCTGGAGAGACCTGAAAATAGCTGTGCAGCTACGCTCCCCATCCAACCTGACAGAGCTTGAGAGGATCTGCAGCGAAGAATGAGAAACTCCCCAAATACAGGTGTACCAAGCTTGTAGCATCACACCCAAGAAGACTCAATGCTGTAATCGCTGCCAAAGGTGCTTCAACAAAATACTGAGTAAAGGGTCTGAATACTTATGTAAATGTAATATTTCAATTTTATTTAAAATTATAAATTAGCAAAAATGTATACAAACCTGTTTTTGCTTCGTCATTATGGGGTATTGTGTGTAGATTTAATGAGGGGAAAAAACAATTTAATCAATTTTAGAAATAGACTGTAACGTAACAATGTGAAAAAAGTGAAGGGGTCTGAATAGGCACTGTAATTGTGAGAGTAGAATTTTACATGACTCTCTGGCTTTCTACACAGATCTCATACTTTTCATACCGATAGCTGGAGCACCACAGTTCTCATCATTACTTTAACAAATTACTATTTCACCACTGTGTACAGCTAGCTCAATCCATATACTGCTCACTCAGACACACGTATCATCTGTTCCTGTTTTCTAAGCAGCTCTGTTCCTGTAGTTGCAATTGTACTGCTATCATCAGTCTTCACAGTGGGGCATCACACTGTCACGCTGTGTCCATCACGCCAAGTGCCAGCCAGCCCCTGCTATTGTGGGGCCGGAGGCCCCGCGTGAATGCAGAGTAGAGGAGATAGGACTGTGATGCAAGAATGGAGCTGTGATACTGATATGCAGATATTTATTTGGATAGATTGTCACTGCAATGAAATGGAATGAGGGAAGGGGGAAAAGAGGGAGATGAATTGAGTGAGTGAAAAATGTGTGTGTATGTTACTAGATTAAAGGAGAGTGGGGTGCTGTGTTGGATCCCGGTGTGTGTGTTTGAGAATGTTGGCACTCATTTCTGTGTTTGTTTTTGTCAGTTTTACGATCATCCTAGTTGCGTCCGTCAGATCGCTGCCCTGCTCCATGCCTTCAGAAGTTGCAGTGAACACACTGACCACCACTCCCCCCTGACACATCACATAAATCCCCAGCAGAAATATGACCATGTCAGCCACAGCAGAGTGCCGTTACTGCACTGGAAAACTAGGAGGAAGTTGCCCCCCGAGTCTAGAAACTGATCTAGGGTCAGTTTGACATTTCCTCCGCTAATGGTTAACGTTAGAATTTGGGAAAGGTAAGCTGGTCCTAGAGCTGTACCTACGGGGGATTTCTACCTGGTGCTGTAAATCAGGGGAGGTCTGAGGCAGAACAGGGACTGTGCTAATGTAGACGTCTTACTGCCTCTCTGTGGGTATGATTAATGGGCTATGATGGGAGCAACCTGCTTTCCCTCTTCTAAACACCTCTGACTCTGTCTGTGTGTGAGGATGCATCACCTCTTTATGCAGTATGTGTCTGACCAGACTGACCAATGTCTGTGTTCCCAGGCTGGTGTCCATTGACACAGAGTTCCGCACACTGAGACTGAGGGCTGAGGACTCCTCAGGACGACAGCACGTCGTCACCGTCAAATTGAAGCCCAAGGTAAGAGAACACGCACACACTATGCAGGCTAATATTCACACACATGTACACTTACACCTAACTAACTAAAGCCTGAAGTGAGAACACATACATTGTAACAGTCAATGAAAAAAACCCAAGTCATACTCTTATACAGTACGTTCAAATATCCATCTTGTGTTAAAAGACAGTACTTCTCTGAGCAGTCCCATATCTAGGGCAAACATAGTTTGGTGAAGTCTGTGTGAGAGGTTCCAACATGCTGTGAGATGGGAGTGTAGAGATATCCACTTTAGATACACAGTTGCATGAATCAACCCTCCAGAACCGGAGGAGAGGAGTGAGATAAGACCATGTGGGCATAACTAGTAGAAATGCATCTCATTGGTCCTCTTAAAATTATTAAGAAGGGCATGGAGGAGGTAGAACATCTAGATCAGTTTGAGCACAGACCGTGCCTACATCTTGGTTGTCGATAGCCGGCATATCACTCTTTCCATGCCTTCCTGCCCCCACTTATCTCTGGGTGTAGCAGGGTGGCAGTGCTGGGTTAGGGAGTGCTGAGCAGGGTGGCCACATGGCAGGTTGGTGGTAGCTGGCCCAGATGATATCCAGAGGAGGTGGTTGGTTTCACCCTGTGCACACCTGCCTGTGTGCCCACCTGTCTGCCCCCATCGCTGGGTAAAAATAGCCTGGATTCCCCCTGTGACCCAGCTGCCTCGCCCGCCCCTCTCCCCTACCCAGGTCACCACACACAGACACAGTCAGAGGGTGGAAGGTAGGGGTTGGCATGCAGAGATAGGGGGGCAGGGAAAGAGTGATATGGGGAGAGAAATTAAGAAAGAGATGTTAAGGAAAGGGTGTGGGTTAACTTTAATGACTTGAGATGTGAAATAAACAGAAAATGGCAAAAACTACTTTACCAGTAGGCAATAGCCTATTTAGTGTACAATAAGTATTGGTAAAAGTCAAGTACCCAGGGACATTCATATGTATGTTGGCCAACTCTAGGGTGTAAAGGCAAGTTTCCCTCCTATTCACAGCACCCTGTAGAGGCCCCAGAGTGCTCCGCAGACCTACCTGTTCCACTGGCCATGACCTGGACACCACAGGTACTGTACACACAAACACAACAAACTGCTTCAGTCCAACTGTCTCACATTCATACATGGGGCTGGGAATTTCCAGGGACCTCCGGCATATAATAATGGCGCCGGAGGGGATGGCTGCCGTTTTTATGGGCTCTTAACCAACCATGCTATTTTGTTAGTTTTTTCGCATTGTTTGTAACTTATTTTGTACATAATGTTACTGCTACTGTCTCTTATGAATGAAAAGAGCTTCTGGACATCAGAACAGCAATTACTCACCTTGAACTGGACTAATCATTTTTCTTAAATGAGTCAGACGAGAGGGATTTGCTCCAGACACCCGACAGGGCCCTCATCCCCGTCATTCGCAAGAGAAAGAGACGGAGATATCGCGGAAGGAGATCGGGGTGCCTGGCAAGGAGCCGGCGACCAGTGGCTAATCTGCCTTTGCCATCGGTACTATTGGCCAATGTACAATCGCTGGAAAATAAAGTGGATGAACTACAAGCACGTATATCCTACCAACTGGACATTAAAAACTAATATCTTATGTTTCACTGAGTCGTGGCTGAACGACGACATGAATAACATACAGCTGGCAGGTTATACACTGTATCGGCAGGATAGAACATTGTTCTAGCATTGTTGGTTAAGGGCTTGTAAGTAAGCATTTCACTGTAAGGTCTACACCTGTTGTATTCGGCGCATGTGACAAATAAGTTGATTTGATACGATATTATCACGATACTTAAGTGCCGATTCTATATGTATTGTGATTCGGTACTGGGATTTTATTGCGATTTGATATTCCAAACATATTGCTCACTATGTCTGCTGCAGAGAGACAAGAGAGCCATGAGAAAACAAGTGTTGATCAGAATAAAAGTGCTGAAAACATTTTGGCTCACTGTTTAAAAAGAAGATTGAGAACAAGCTATAGGATGAAAAATACCGGAGTTTTAGCACAAGTACAGCCGACTAGCACTAGCTGACGCAACCTAACAACAAACACATAGTCAAAAATAATATTGCGATATGTAACTATTGATTTTTTTAAATTAATTTTTTCTTCACTACTTATATACACTAACAAACACTTTGTCGCTATTCACACACTTGCTGTATTTCTCAGTACAACCTTTAAAGGATTCCCTTTTAACTCCTATTTTATCACAGTCGGTAATATTGAGCCTTAGATACTGACAGCTGTTCTCTTTCTATGTGCTGGGTGTGTCTCTCTACGTGTGTGTGTGTGTGTGTGTGTGGTACATGGCAGCCTTACAGAGAAGACGAGCTAAGTACAGGGCTGCCGTATGGAGCCTGTCTGCCTGCTGGGCAGCTGATGGATCTCTCCTGTGCTGCCAGAGGACTGTGTGTGTGTGTGTGTTGTGGGGGAAGGGCTTGTCTGTCGGCTGTCCTGACATGTTCATTTGAATGAGTAATTATTGCCTGCTCTGTTGCAGGGCCAAGATGTGCCACACTGTGTTTGTGTGAAAGAATGAGAGGGACAGAGAGACACTGTAGTTTGTGTGCACATTAGAGAGGAAGAACAAGACAATGCGTAATATATTCTCAGTTTATTAGGTACACCCATTCCCGTTCGAATAGTTCACTCCTACAGACAGTGAGTCACGTGGCCGTGGCTTGCTATTTAAAGCAGGCAGACGGGCATCGAGGCATTCAGTTACTGTTCGATTGAACGTTAGAATGGGCAAAACGAGTGACTTTGTGCGTGGTATGATCGTCGGTGCCAGGCGTGCCGGTTCCAGTATCTCAGAAACGGACGGCCTCCTGGGCTTTTCACTCATGATAGTGTCTAGGGTTTACAGAGAATGGTGCGACATACAAAAAAACATCCAGTCAGTGGCAGTACTGTGGGCGAAAACAGCTCTTTGATGAGAGGCCGAAGGACAATGGCAAGAATCGTGCAAGCTAACAGGCGGGCCACAAACGGGCAAATAACGGCGCAGTACAACAGTGGTGTGCAGAATGGCATCTCGGAACGAACAACTCGTCGGTCCTTGTCACGGATGGGCTATTGCAGCAGACGACCACACCGGGCTCCAGGGGGCACGCGAGCACCAACACTGGACATTTGAGGATTGGAAAAACATCGCCTTGTCCGACGAATCCCGGTTCCTGTTGCGTCATGCTGATGGCAGTCAGGAATTGGCGTAAGCAGCATGAGTACATGGCCCCATCCTGCCTGGTGTCAACAGTACAGTTTGGTGGCAGTGGTGTAATGGTGTGGGCAATGTTTTCCTGGGACACGTTAGGTCCCTTGATACCAATTGAGCGACGTATTCCTGACCCGAAGAATTCAGGCTGTTGTGGAGGCAAAGGGGGTCCGACCCGGCACTAGATGGGTGTACCTAATAAACATGCAGTAGTACATACCTGTTTTGTGTCTTTTAAAAGCAGTGTGTGGTGATTGATGTCTGTATGAGATTGTGGCTGGGCAGGACCATTGGTGGGCACCAGACCCACCACTGCAGGTGTGGCACAGCATGAACAACCTCTGCCAGCAGTCTGTGTGTTTGTGAGTCCGTGCGTGTACACCCGTATGTACCGGACCTACAGTAATAAATGATTAGAGCACGGGGTTAGAATCCTATCTGTCATCAGCCAGGAGAAGAGAGCCCAGGCAGATGTATCACAGTTCCCTCAATGTCTACACAAGTCACCATTATAAAGTCTTTAGGTGTATCCATTCATACGCCGTTACTCCATTTGAACCCCGCTAGATGATTGCTTTTATTAGCAGTGTTTAAGTATGTACAGTTAGACTCCCATTTCCTCAGGAGTTAAGCATGTAGTGAGGATAGATCTGTTTTTACTCAGTGCTAGATGAAGAGGCCTAATTGAGGCACTCAAGGAGCACTGAGCGGATCTTAGCTTTCCACAGACACACACTCTTACATCCTGCCACTCAAATCCAGCAGGAATTCAATTACCAAGCCCCCTTTTACTGGGTCCACTGTATTTCTATGGAGCCATAACCATAATCACGCCACTGGCATTAATTGGCCAGTAATTGCGGAGTCTCTGCACCTGTGCGATGCTAAATTGTGTGCACTGTGCTGGCACAATGACCCATAATTTTTGGTTCATTTCGCTCTTCTTTTTTTTTCTCTCTCACTTATGTCGGATTTCCCTTTGGTGTGTTGTGGTGGTGCGGGACAGAGCTAGTCTAATAAAATTATTTTTTTGAAGGGAATTTGATTTGTTGAGCCTGTGCCTGCATTAAACGCTAAATAAAGAGTAGAATATATAATGTGATACTATCTCATGGTAGTCTATAATCCGGTATTTCATCTTCACCTCACTAATCTAGGCAAAAATATTTCCCTAACCGTTAGATGGCTTAGTTGGTTTAAGTTATAATTGTGGTAGTTTTAATACAGAGAACATTATAAAGGCTACATGGTCTCTCCAAGGTCAGACCTATAGATGCCAATTTTTCTGCAAATCATTACCATTTAATTTACATAGGCATAATGATACAGTGCCTTCAGAAAGTATTCACATCCCTTTACTTTTTCCACATTTTGTGTTACAGCATGAATTTAAGATTGATTAAACTGAGATGTTTGTCACTGGCCTACACACAATATCAAAGTGGAATTTTGTTTTTTTTTAATTTTTACAAATTAATTAAAGATGAAATGTCTTGAGTCAGTGAGTATTCAACCCCTTTGTTATGGCAAGCCTAAATAAGTTCAGGACTAAACATTTTAAAGACTGAGCTATAATTGCTGACAAAGGAGATTTTAACATGTATTGACTCAGGGGGTTGAATACTTATCTAATCAAGATATATTAGTTTTTATTTTTCATAAATATTTTACAAATGTTAGAATTTTTCTTCCACTTTGACATTTAGAGTATTCTATGTCAATAAAAAAATAAAATAAAAAAATAATCTATTTTAATCCCACTTTGTAACAACAAAATCTGGAAAAAGTGGTGTGAATACTTTCTGAAGGCACTGTATTAATTCATTCTTGTTTTTCTCAATTAAGACTTTCTTTATTCAAAAGTATCCACCAACACATTTGAACTCTGGTTTAGGTTGTCATACCTGTTGTGTTCTGTTCCCCACAGAGTTCTCTGGGCCATGTTCACACTCAGTTCCTGCTGCTTCTAGAGTCTCTGGCCGAGTTTTGGGCGGTTCTAGATGAGATCGATGAAAAGACCTGGGTTCTAGAGCCAGAGAAACCCAGCAGAGCCGACACCATGAGGAGGATCGCCATCGGTAACACACACAGACATGCTCACACTCAGGCAGATACACAAACTCACTAAATAGAGACCTCTATAGGCCATAATTAATCCTCATGCACACTGAACTAAACAGACCTCTACTACTATTACCTACAGTACCAGTCAAAAGTTTGGACACACCTACTCATTCAAGGGTTTTTCTTTATTTGTACTATTTTCTACATTGTAGAATAATAGTGAAGATATCAAAACTATCAAATAACACATATGGAATCATGTAGTCTGGATAAGAGCGTCTGCTAAATGACTTAAATGTACATGTAGTAACCAAAAAAGTGTTAAACAAATCAAAATGTATTTTATATTTGAGATTCTTCAAATAGCCACCCTTTGCCTTGATGACAGCTTTGCACACTCTTGGCATTCTCTCTACCAGCTTCACCTGGAATGCTTTTCCAACAGTCTTGAAGGAGGTCCCACATATGCTGAGCACTTTTTGGCTGCTTTTCCTTCACTCTGCCGTCCGACTCATCCCAAACCATCTCAATTGGGTTGAGGTCGGGGGATTGTGGAGGCCAGGTCATCTGATGCAGCACTCCATTACTCTCCTTCTTGGTAAAATAGCCCTTACACAGCCTGGAGGTGTGTTGGGTCATTGTCCTGTTGAAAAACAAATGATAGTCCCACTAAGCCCAAACCAAATGGGATGGCGTATCGCTGCAGAATGCTGTTGTAGCCATGCTGGTTAAGTGTGCCTTTAATTCTAAATAAATCACAGACAGTGTCACCAGCAAAGCACCCCCACACCATAACACCTCCTCCTCCATGCTTTACGGTGGGAACTATACATGCGGAGATCATCCGTTCAAAAATCTCCCATTTGGACTCCAGACCAAAGGACAAATTTCCACCGATCTAATGTCCATTGCTCGTGTTTCTTGGCCCATGCAGGTCTATTCTTCTTATTGGTGTCCTTTAGTAGTGGTTTCTTTGCAACAATTTGACCATGAAGGCCTGATTCACACAGTCCCCTCTGAACAGTTGATGTTGAGCTGTGTCTGTGACTTGAACTCTGTGAAGCATTTATTTGGGCTGCAATTTCTGAGGCTAGTAACTCTAATGAACTTACCTCTGCAGCAGAGGAAACTCTGGGTTTCCATTCCTGTGGCGATCCTCATGAGTGCCAGTTTCATCATAGCGCTTGATGGTTTTTGCGACTGGACTTGTAGAAACTTTCGAAGTTCTTGAAATGTTCCGTATTAACTGACCTTCATGTCTTAAAGTAATGCCATAATATGGACTTGGTCTTTTACCAAATATAGCTATCTTCTGTATACCCCCCCTACCTTGTCACAGCACAACTGATTGGCTCAAATGCATTAAGAAGGAAAGAAATTCCACAAATTAACTTTTAAGAAGGCACACCTGTTAATTGAAATGCATTCCAGGTGACTACCTCATGAAGCTGGTTGAGAGAATGCCAAGAGTGTGCAAAGCTGTCATCAAGGCAAAGGTTGCCTATATATTTTGATTTTTGGTTACTAAATGATTCCATATATGTTATTTCATAGTTTTGATGTCTTCACTATTATTCTACAATGTAGAAAATAGTAAAAATAAGGAAAAACCCTTGAATGAGTAGGTGTGCCCAAACTTTTGACTGGTACTGTATAAACATTCACTTCTATCATTGTTTCCTCTGTGTTGTGGTCATCTATTCCTTGTCCCCAAACACTGATTGACTATGTCTCTAGCAAATAACGTGTCCATAAAAGTGGAAGTTGACACGCGACACCCAAAGATGTTGCCAGAGTGCTGCCTGCTCGGAGCAGAGCATGGTAGGTAAAATACTATACTTATGGTGTGTTCATAAAAAATAAATAATGGATAATAAATATGAAATGTGTACCCTGGATTAAATGATGGCACACTTGCCGTGTAGAATTGTTCTTTTTTATGCATCCTCCTTTCAGTCTATTAACTGATCAGACTCAATTTGATAACGCAGTATTGAGGAAACCTGGTTTCCACCTTCCCTTATTCTATCATATCTGTGATCACAGACAAAGGAAATATGTATTATTTTTTGGGGCGCATTCTGGGGAATGTTGACTACCCAACATAAAGTTTTTACAACATAATCAGGCTTTTGATTTGGTACAAGTAGGAGCGGACCAACCAAGGTCGAGTTTGTTCTATTTAAGTCCCAACAATTGTTGCCAATTGTTTCTTTAAATCCAAGGTCATGCTTGGTCAACAGTGCCACACAGAACTCATTGTCGGTTGCCTAGCAATGCTATTAAACACACACACTCCTGTCGCCAAGACTGAGGCAGGCAGCGACCCTCAAATAGATGGGGTCACGCAGAAATATTGCTTTTTGCATTTAAGAATAACAAACAACAGAATGCAATGATGGCTGTACACAAAGACGAGGCTCATGGGGTGGAACGGACAAGAGCAGAGCGTTTATGTCGAAGTTATTGGAATATTTCCTCTTTGCCTGACTCTGTCATCAAATATGAAGAGCTGTTTGTAAGAGCCTGTGTGCTGCATCCAGGAAAACAATTGACATCACCCCCAATTAGATTTGGGGTGATGTTTTCTGAAATGCACCAAACATATATTACACAACACTTGCAGGGGGATTTATCTCTAAACCTCTCTTTTTACAATGTCCATTTTGAATTCACTACTTAATTGTGTTGGTTATTTTCCCCTGCAGCGGTAACACCTTTGAGGAACAAACTGAATGCCAACATGCATTTATGGTAAGTTAGGTAGTCAGTTAGGATAAACAGTCTATTTATCGGTATATGTTCCATATAATGTGATTTCCTGATATACAGTATATTGTGTTTGTAACATTCTAAATGAACAGTATTTTATGCCATTTCAATGTGATAGCCTCGGTCGTCAACATTTCCTAGCAGGGAGAGAAATAACGGACATATTGGTCATAATTGTAAACTCCTCTTCCCTCCGTCTCTCCCTCATTTGCATGTGTTTAATTAGTGTGTGAAGGAGCTGTTTTGTGTCTTTCAGGAACCTGGACTGCAGCATCTTGCAGAACCTCCGGGATGTTTTGGAGATAGAATTCCCATCACCTGCCACCCACGAAAAATCTGTATGTTGCATTTCCCTGTTTCAAACACCAAGCCCTCACAATTACCTCTGCCGAGCAATCGTGTGTGTGAGGGTGTAGATATATCTTTTTATTTCTGTTATTCTTTCTTATGTTTGCTGGAGGTGGGTATGCAGCCCCTTTAATTGGGTTGTTTACAGATAAGATCATTAGAATAACAAAGATGGCAGAATCCTCGGCACTATCGAGATCGCTTTAATCACACCCCATTTATCTTTTTTTTTGCCGCCGGATGGGTTGAAAGGGCGCCGTGTTTATCCACTGTCGCCACGGTGATTAATGCCTCAGCATCATTAACATTCCGAAGAGCAAAGTTTACTTTACCAGATGTTGAAATTGTACCTGCCATCCTCTTTTTAATGGATCGCTTGGAGAGGAAAAGGGCTTCTCGTTACATGAAAAGCAATATGCAAACAGAGAGGAAGGGGGACACTGGTAGAAAGAGAGGGAGGTGTAGCGGGATAGAGGAGAGGTACTATTAATTTTTTGTCTTGTAGAGTTTCAGTGTGGAGTGTGGGATCTGTTACGCCTACCGTCTGGAGTCGGCCATTCCTGATCAGGTGTGCAACGACCCTCGCTGCGGACAACCCTTCCACCAGGCCTGTCTGTACGAGGTAAGGGACACGCACACAACTATCCTACCAAATCAGTAGGCATGTCTGTTTTACAAAAGAACACTACACACAATATCCACGATGAGACATGCATGAATTTAAAATAATTTGTAATAAATTCATACAAAAATAGGATGCGAAAGTAAAAAAGCATCAAAAATTCGATTAGGGTGTTTGGATTCTTTGCATTTCTCAAATCTTGCCACTACAGGCACAAGAATCGGTCCATTTCAATGTAGTGTTTAGTTTTACTAGTTCTTGTTCGGTCTCTCCAGTGGTTGCGTGGACTACCTTCCAGTCGCCAGAGCTTCAACATAGTGTTTGGAGAGTGTCCCTACTGCAGCAAGGTATTTCAAGCCGCCATATAGCATTATTAATACTCACTACAGTCCATGTCCTTTGTAAGGTCATATAGTCTTCATAGAATGCGTCATTCATAAAGTTAAAAAAGGTAATATAGAGCCCTGTTCATGCACAATGAGTACATTGAATACAGCAGGTCAAATTTATTAGAGTGGAGGTACCATGTCCTTGGTTGGTATAGTATTATACAACAGTCACGCATATAATCCACACACTGTAAGCCTATAGAAAATCCCCAAAGGTTCAGTTGCAAATCACAATTAAGTCACAATCAAGTTTTGTTAGTTTTTGGTAATTGATACAGCGAGCCTGTTTTGACATTTGCAAATAACAATATAGTCCATGTTAAAAGTGACACTTGTTTTGTTGTTTACAGCCCATCACAGTGAAGATGTCCACCCAGAAACCCTGAGAGCTGACTGGAGCCTGGGCATAGAGCTCTATGGTTTAACATGAGCCTCAGCAAATCCACTCACATCTCATGTACAATACATCTAATGTGTTGCGTGTCACTCATGTCATGACACTAGAGCGAACTGTAGTAAGAGTTGGGGATGATACAAACCTAAAATAGGAAACAAAAAACAGCTCAAAGAGAGTAGCAGGGAAACAGAGCACCAAGTCATCATTCAGGACCGTCAGTCAGAGTGAATAGAAAGGCCAGGGACAGGAATAAGATGACCACTAAGGCACTGCAGTACAGTGTGACATCACAGCCACTCTTCTGTTTGGGAGAAGGCTCTGCTCTCTGGTTGTGGTCTTTGTAGCCATATTCCTCCCACTCACCACGGTCATATATGAGGTTGGGATTTTCCCAGTGGTCAGATTCTGGGGGATCGTGCTTCTGACTCTTACCCCCACACTGGTGATCATGGTCGTGGTTGAAGTTCTCCGAACCATCCTCTTTGTACAGATGTTTTTCCCAGTGTGTCTGACTGTTGTCCTCCCAATGGTCATTATGTGTTTGACCCAATTTGCTTTTTGTAGGGGTTGTACTTTCTCTGGGGTAGGACCGTCTATGGTTGACTTGTGGTCTTGAGGTCACAGCAACTATTTTCCTGACGCGATGTTTGGTTTGTGTTGATGTTTTCTGTTAGGGGATAATTCACACATTTGCTCGGGTTTCTGCCATTGACCTGAACTCTTGTAACAGCCATTAGATGTTTTTATAATGTGAAAATAATTTTCTAAAAAGGGCAATAAAAAATATTCTGTTGCGATATTTATTTAGGGTTTGAACTTGACCTTGCTTAGATAAAACATATTAATTATCACTTGGGCGTCAAAGTAAAGTTGCTGGTCATTTTGTCCATTCTTGTAAAACCAGTTTAACAGCATTATAGTAACATGCTGTGAATCCTGTCAATATTACACTACAAGCAGGATTTAGTGCCTTGGCCTAACCACCTGTTCTGGCTGGGGCTTGGAAATGGGTGGTCCTCTGATGTATTGAGATGGCACAGGTCTGGGTCTCTCCATCTCTTCTTCTTCTTCGTTCTCCTCATCCTCCTCATATACAGGCTTTGGTTTGGAGGAGCCTCTAGCTCGGCCTGCTTTCTGTGGGGAAAGGACACAGGAAGACCGGGTTGAGACATTTCACGTGAAGCTAGCATGCACTAGTTTATGACAATAACATACTCCTCATCAATCTGGACATTTCACTAACACCTTACCCCCTGTTCTGACTGGGGCATGGATGTGGGTGGTCCCCTAATGTAGCGAGATGGTACAGGTTTGGGTCTCCCCTCTTTATCAATCTCCATCTTTTCTTCGTCACTGTCATCCTCCACATATACAGGCTTTGGTTTAGAGGACCCTCTAGTTGCAGGTTTAGCCCTGCCCGCTTTCTGTGGGGAAAGGATACAGGAGGAAGTATTTCATGTGACGCTAACGAACAACTGTATGAAAACACTTTTCCTCCTGTTGTCAACACTTTAGAATAAAGGGCATTTCCCCATGTGTGTCAACAACTGTACATTCTAATACATTTATTTTGGGTCATATTGTACTAAAACCAGTTGCAACCAGTTTAGTAGTAAAGTTTAGTGAATCCCGTTTATAGCCAATACCTTTACCCCCTGTTCAGACTGGAGCTTGGATATAGGTGGTCCTCTGTAGCGAGACGGCACAGGTTTGGGCCTCTCTTCATCCAACTCCATCTTCTCATCCTCTTCTTTCTCACTCTCCTCATCCTCCACAACTACAGGCTTTGGTTTGGAGGAGCCTCTCGCTCGGCCTGCTTTCTGTGGGGAAAGGACACAGGATGACAGGGTGAGGGACTTAGTAAGAGGCTGTTTCTGGTAGTAGAAACTTGCTTGAGTCTCCATTGAAGATGCTTTTAGACCAGGAGTAGGCTGAATCTGGGCCGGAGAAGGCTACCTACTGTGTTGAAGACTAAGCATTGCTCACTGAATTATTAATTTCAGTCTTTAAATGATGATTCCGGAGTCCGTACGGGAGTTGCAGCGATGGGACAAGACTGTAACTACCAATTGGATATCACGAAATTGAGGAGAGAAAGTGGGGGAAAATAAATAAATGATGATACCGAGGAGTAGGACAGACACCGAAAGCAGCCTTTCCATAGACCGTCATTTAATCTCTTTCCAAACCTCCAAAAATGGACTTCTGTTTGACTACAGCCCAGCAGTTCAGCATGGAGATAAGAGAGGAGAGAGAAAGAGAGGGAGAAAAAGAGTATAATTATGGCTGCTGATCCTCTGCCCTAGTAAAGTGTGTGTAAAGTGTGTGTCATCAATCACCTCAAATTGGGCTGTTTTGGCCATCTGCGGGTCAAGTTAGTTGCCATTGGGAGCTCAAGTGATTCCGATAAATTCCAGAAAATCACCACCTCTCCGCTCCAGAGCCTCTTGAGGGGGACGAGGTGTGCCTCCGTGGGGGTCAGGGGCAAGTTGACCCCCTTTACTGCGGTCAAGATTCCCCGCCAGGCATTTAGAGAAGAAAATGTGATTCTCCTCTCTACACCGCTATGTAGAGTGCCAGAGCGAGAGAGATGACATATTTGGTACAGTTAGATGTCCAATTGAAATGCACATATTTCATGTGAAATACTTTCTGCAGTGTTCGTGTGCTCGTGTGTGTGTGTTGTAAATAAAGATCGGCATTTGTATAGGATCTGTGGCTGAGGCTGTCATCAGTGTGTGTAAATCTCCCACACTGCACTGGGGCTCCCGACAGACCCACACACAAACACCTCACTCCTCTCCCAGAGGGTTATAAATCAGAGTATAAACAATGCACATTAAGTGAGTCTAGCCATCTGGTCTCCGTTACACTTCTCTGACCTGCACTTTACCCTCTCCAGCTATATTAGATGCACTATATATATATATATATATATATATATATATATATATATATATATATATATATATATATATATATATATATATATATATACAGTGGGGGAAAAAAGTATTTAGTCAGCCACCAATTGTGCAAGTTCTCCCACTTAAAAAGATGAGAGAGGCCTGTAATTTTCATCATAGGTACATGTCAACTATGACAGACAAAATGAGAAAAAAAAATCCAGAAAATTTTGTAGGATTTTTTATGAATTTATTTGCAAATTATGGTGGAAAATAAGTATTTGGTCAATAACAAAAGTTTCTCAAAACTTTGTTATATACCCTTTGTTGGCAATGACACAGGTCAAACGTTTTCTGTAAGTCTTCACAAGGTTTTCACACACTGTTGCTGGTATTTTGGCCCATTCCTCCATGCAGATCTCTAGAGCAGTGATGTTTTGGGGCTGTCGCTGGGCAACACGGACTTTCAACTCCCTCCAAAGATTTTCTATGGGGTTGAGATCTGGAGAATGCCTAGGCCACTCCAGGACCTTGAAATGCTTCTTACGAAGCCACTCCTTCGTTGCCCGGGAGGTGTGTTTGGGATCATTGTCATGCTAAAAGACCCAGCCACGTTTCATCTTCAATGCCCTTGCTGATGGAAGGAGGTTTTCACTCAAAATATCACGATACATGGCCCCATTCATTCTTTCCTTTACACGGATCAGTCGTCCTGGTCCCTTTGCAGAAAAACAGCCCCAAAGCATGAAGTTTCCACCCCCATGCTTCACAGTAGGTATGGTGTTCTTTGGATGCAACTCAGCATTCTTTGTCCTCCAAACACGATGAGTTGAGTTTTTACCAAAAAGTTATATTTTGGTTTCATCTGACCATATGACATTCTCCCAATCCTCTTCTGGATCATCCAAATGCACTCTAGCAAACTTCAGACGGGCCTGGACATGTACTGGCTTAAGCAGGGGGACACGTCTGGCAATGCAGGATTTGAGTCCCTGGCGGAGTAGTGTGTTACTGATGGTAGGCTTTGTTACTTTGGTCCCAGCTCTCTGCAGGTCATTCACTAGGTCCCCCCGTGTGGTTCTGGGATTTTTGCTCACCGTTCTTGTGATCATTTTGACCCCACGGGGTGAGATCTTGCGTGGAGCCCCAGATCGAGGGAGATTATCAGTGGTCTTGTATGTCTTCCATTTCCTAATAATTGCTCCCACAGTTGATTTCTTCAAACCAAGCTGCTTACCTATTGCAGATTCAGTCTTCCCAGCCTGGTGCAGGTCTACAATTTTGTTTCTGGTGTCCTTTGACAGCTCTTTGGTCTTGGCCATAGTGGAGTTTGGAGTGTGACTGTTTGAGGTTGTGGACAGGTGTCTTTTATACTGATAACAAGTTCAAACAGGTGCCATTAATACAGGTAACGAGTGGAGGACAGAGGAGCCTCTTAAAGAAGAAGTTACAGGTCTGTGAGAGCCAGAAATCTTGCTTGTTTGTAGGTGACCAAATACTTATTTTCCAACAATTTGCAAATAAATTCATTAAAAATCCTACAATGTGATTTTCTGGAGAAAAAAAATCTCAATTTGTCTGTCATAGTTGACGTGTACCTATGATGAAAATGACAGGCCTCTCTCATCTTTTTAAGTGGGAGAACTTGCACAATTGGTGGCTGACTAAATACTTTTTTCCCCCACTGTGTGTGTGTATATATATATATATATATATATATACGCAACATGTAAAGTGTTGGCCTCATGTATCATGAGCTGAAATTAAAGATCCCAGAAATGTTCCATACGCACAAAAAGCTTATTTCTCTCAAATTGTGTACACACATTTGTTTACATCCCTGTTAGTGAGCATTTCTCCTTTGCCAAGACAATCCATCCACTTGACAGGTGTGGCATATCAAGAAGCTGATGACACAGGTGCACATTGTGATTAAATCGTCTGGGGGAAGGAGGGTATTGCCCACCCATGGCTGCGCACCTGCCCAGTCATGTGAAATCCATAGATTAGGGCCTTATGAATTTATTCCAATTGACTGATTTCCTTCTATGAACTGTAACTCAGTAAAATCTTTAATTGTTGCATTTATATTTTTGTTCAGTGTATATATACAGTCGTGGTCAAAGGTTTTGAGAATGACACAAGTATTGGTCTTCACAAAGTTTGCTGCTTCAGTGTTTTTAGATATTTTTGTCAGATGTTACTATGGTATACTGAAGTATAATTACAAGCATTCCATAAGTGTCAAAGGCTTTTATTGACAATTACATTAAGTTTATGCAAAGAGTCAATATTTGCAGTGTTGACCCTTCTTTTTCAAGACCTCTGCAATCCGCCCTGGCATGCTGTCAATTAACTTCTGGGCAACATCCTGACTGATGGCAGCCCATTCTTGCATAATCAATGCTTGGAGTTTGTCAGAATTTGTGGGTTTTTGTTTGTCCTCCCACCTCTTGAGGATTGACCACAAGTTCTCAATGGGATTAAGATCTGGGGAGTTTCCTGGCCATGGACCCAAAATGTCGATGTTTTGTTCCCCGAGCCACTTAGTTATCACTTTTGCCTTATGGCAAGGTGCTCCGTCATGCTGGAAAAGGCATTGGTCGTCACCAAACTGTTCTTGGATGGTTGGGAGAAGTTGCTCTCGGAGGATGTGTTGGTACCATTCTTTATTCATGGCTGTGTTCTTAGGCAAAATTGTGAGTGAGCCCACTCCCTTGGCTGAGAAGCAACCCCACACATGAATGGTCTCAGGATGCTTTACTGTTGGCATGACACAGGACTGATGGTAGAGCTCCCCTTGTCTTCTCCGGACAAGCTTTTTTCCAGATGCCCCCAAACAATCGGAAAGGGGATTCATCAGAGAAAATGACTTTACCCCAGTCCTCAGCAGTCCAATCCCTGTACCTTTTGAAGAATATCAGTATGTCCCTGATGTTTTTCCTGGAGAGAAGTGGCTTCCTTGCTGCCCTTCTTGACACCAGGCCATCCTCAAAGTCTTCGCCTCACTGTGCGTGCAGATGCACTCACACCTGCCTGCTGCCATTCCTGAGCAAGCTCTGCACTGGTGGTGCCCCGATCCCACAGCTGAATCAACTTTAGGAGACGGTCCTGGTGCTTGCTGGACTTTCTTGGGCGCCCTGAAGCCTTCTTCACAACAATTTAACCTCGCTCCTTAAAGTTCTTGATAGGTGCAATCTTACTAGCAGCAATATCCTTGCCTGTGAAGCCCTTTTTGTGCAAAGCAATGATGACGGCACGTGTTTCCTTGCAGGTAACCATGGTTAACAGAGGAAGAACAATGATTTCAAGCACCACCCTCCTTTTAAAGCTTCCAGTCTGTTATTCTAACTCAATCAGCATGACAGAGTGATCTCCAGCCTTGTCCTCGTCAACACTTTCACCTGTGTTAACGAGATAATCACTGACATGATGTCAGCTGGTACTTTTGTGGAAGGGCTGAAATGCAGTGGACATTTTTTGGGGGGATTAAGTTCATTTTCATGGCAAAGAGGGACTTTGCAATTCATCTGATCACTCTTCATAACATTCTGGAGTATATGCAAATTGCCATCATAAAAACTGAGGCAGCAGACTTTGAAAATTAATATGTGTGTCGTTCTCAAAACTTTTCACCACGACTGTACACTATATATACACACAGAAGTATGTGGACACCCCTTCAGATTAGTGGATTCAGCTAATTCAGCCACACCCGTTGCTGACATGTATATAAAAATCGAGCAAACAACCATGCAATCTCCATAGACAAACATTGGCAGTAGAATGGCCTTACTTAAGAGCTCAGTGACTTTCAACGTGCCACCGTCATAGGATGCCACCTTTCCAACAAGTAAGTTTGTCATTTCAGCCCTGCTACCGTCAACCGTAAGTACTGTTATTGTAAAGTGGAAACATCTAGGAGCAACAACGGCTCAGCAGCGAAATGGTAGGACACACAAGCTCACAGAACGGGACCGCCGAGTGCTAAAGTGCGTATCGCGTAACAATAGTCTGTCCTCGGTTGCAACACTCACTACCGAGTTCCAAACTGCCTGTGGAAGCAATGTCAGCACAAGACCTGTTCATCGGGAGCTTCACGAAATGGGTTTCCATGGCCGATCATCCGCACACAAGCCTAAGATCACCATGCGCAATGCCAAGCGACGGCTATAGTGGTGTAAAGCTCGCAGCCATTGGATTCTGGGGCAGTGGAAATGCATTCTCTGGAGTGATGAATCATGCTTCACCATCTGGCAGTCCGACGGACAAATCTGGGTTTGGCAGATGCCAGGAGAACGCTACCTGCCCGAATGCATACTGCCAACTGTAAAGTTTGGTGGAGGAGGAATAATGGTCTGGGGCTGTTTTTCATGGTTCATGCTATGCCCCTTAGTTCCCAGTGAAGGGAAATCTTAATGCTACAGCATACAATGACATTCTAGACAATTCTGTGCTTCCAACTTTGTGGCAACAGTTTGGGGAAGGCCCTTTCCTGTTTCAGCATGACAATGCCCCTGTGCACAAAGCGAGGTCCATACAGAAATGGCTTGTCGAGATCAGTGTGGAAGAACTTGACTGGCCTGCACAGAGCCCTGACTTCAACCCCGTCAAACACCTTTGGGATGAATTGGAATGCCGACTGCGAGTCAGGCCTAATCGCCCAACATCAGTGCCTGACCTCAGTAATGCTCTTGTGGCTGAATGGAAGCAAGTCCCCGCAGCAATGTTCCAACATCTAGTGGAAAGCCTTCCCAGAAGAGTGGATGCTGTTATAGCAGCAAAGGGGGGACCAACTCCATATTAATGCCCATGATTTTAGAATGAGATGTTCGACAAGCAGGTGTCCACATACCTTTGGTCACGTAATGTATCCATCTCTGTTAGGTCCTAATACTTCACTTCGTGTATGTTTGCAAGCTGTTTTTCAATATTTTAGTTAACTATGCCGTATTGTCTATTGACCATAGACTACGGCTACGTTTAGACAGGCAGACAAAATCTCATTTTTTGGGGCTGCCTGTGTAAACGCAGCCTACTTAGCCTACATTTGGGAGTAGATATTTTTGTGTGTGATTGACTGACGGATTGATTAATAGGTCTACATTAGTGGTCCCCAATAGGCTGCCCGCGGGGTGATTTTATTTGGCTCCCCATGTTTTCTGGGAAAGGTAATCTCTTAGGTACTCTCACCTTGCCCGTGGCTGGACAATCAGACCCTCTGGTGGAGGAACCCCCTGACACCGCTCCTCGTGGCCCAGACAGGTCCAGCCTTTCCTGGCCTCCGCGCGGTCTTGGTGCCCCTTCAGAGAGCAGCTCTCTCAGCCTCTTGTAGTCTGGACGTTCCTTATACTCCAGAGCTTTGACACTGAGCAGGAAAAAGGCCAACTCATCTGAGAGAGGGAGGGGAAGAGGGACAAGAGCGAGAGAATGAGCAATAGTCCCCCTCAGACTTATCTGTGATGTTTTATAAACACTGGCTATGTCCCATGTGATCTGCGTGTTTCAGTACACAGAGACCTTCACCCCTTACTGCAACTAACATGTCCTGCTACCTAGAGTGTACCCACACACATTGTATATGAGTGTGTATCACACTCATATCCAATAGGGTTGATGCATGTCCTGGGCCTTATCTGTGGCGGCCAGCCGGGCCCTGCCTCTGGAGGAGGTGCAGAGAATCAGCCCAGTCAGTCACCACCATACATCACATAGCCCTCACCTCACAGAGACGTGACCTCTCTTTACAGGACCAGCGATAACAACACCCGAGTCTCAAAGACCTCTCTGGGATGGATGCTGGAGTTGTGGGAACATATTTTTAGGAGTAAAAAAAAAAAAAGATGTTTCATTCCCACCTGGGACAAAGTGGTGTGACTCTGGAGTCTGACTACTGGACTCTGACTCTGGACAAGTACTGACTGGTACTGAGGCCCTCTCACTCACCTGTGCAAGCTCCACCCACAGACAGCTGCTGCACCGAGCCAGGTAGATTAGCTATGAGTCTGGAAAGAGAGACAGCGAAACAGGCATGAAATAGAGGGGGAGAGAGAAACAAGGGTTTAACTTAACGTCTAAGCCTTTGGGGCAAAACAGACATAAGGAATATGGTTTTGAAGTGTCTGTCCTATATCTAAGAGATACAGTACATGACCAAAAGTATGTGGACAGCTGCTTGTCGAACATCTCATTCTAAAATCATGGGCATTAATATGGAGATGGTCCCCCCTTTGCTGCTATAACAGCCTCCACTCTTCTGGGAAGGCTTTCCACTAGATGTTGGAACATTGCTGCGGGGTCTTGCTTCCATTCAGCCACAAGAGCATTAGGTGAGGTCGGGCACTGATGTTGGGCGATGAGGCCTGGCTTGCAGTCTGCATTCCAATTCATCCCAAAGGTGTTAGATGGGGTTGAGGTTATCGATCTCGACAAACCATTTCTGTCTGGATCTCGCTTTGTGCATGGGGGCATGGTCATGCTGAAACAGAAAATGGCCTTCCCCAAACTGTTGCCACAAAGTTGGAAGCACAGAATCGTCTAGAATGTTATTGTATGCTGTAGAGTTAAGATTTCCCTTCACTGGAACTAAGGGGCCTAGCCCGAACCCTGAAAAACAGCCCCAGACCATTATTCTTCCTCCACCAAACTTTACAGTTGGCACTATGCATTTGGGCAGGTAGCGTTTTCCTGGCATCCGCCAAACCAATATTCGTCCACCAGACTGACAGACGATGAAGCGTGATTCATCACCCCAGAGAACGCGTTTCCACTGTTCCAGAGCCCAATGGCGCGAACTTGGCATTGTGCATGGTGATCTTAGGCTTGTGTGCGGCTGCTCGGCCATGGAAACCCATTTCATGAAGCTCCCGACAAACAGTTATTCTGCTGACGTTGCTTCCAGAGGCAGTTTGGAACTCTGTAGTGAGTGTTGCAACCAAGGACAGAACATTTTCACGCGCTATGCGCTTCAGCACTCGGCGGTCCCATTCTGTGAGCTTGTGTGGCCTACCACTTCGCGGCTGAGCCGTTGTTGGTCCTAGACGTTGCTACTTCAACAAGAACAGCACTTACAGTTGACCAGGGCAGCTCTAGCAGGGCAGAAATTTCACGAACTGACTTGTTGGAAAGGTGGCATCCTATGACGGTGCCACATTGAAAGTCACGGTCTATGGAGATTGCATGGCTGTGTGCTCGATTTTGATAGACCGTTCCACATACTTTTGTGTGTGTGTGTGTGTGTGTGTGTGTGTGTGTGTGTGTATATATATATATATATAATATATATATACACACACACATATACAGTGGGGAAAAAAAGTATTTAGTCAGCCACCAATTGTGCAAGTTCTCCAATTTAAAAAGATGAGAGAGGCCTGTAATTTTCATCATAGGTACACGTCAACTATGACAGACAAATTGAGAGAAAAAATCCAGAAAATCACATTGTAGGATTTTTTATGAATTTATTTGCAAATTATGGTGGAAAATAAGTATTTGGTCAATAACAAAAGTCATAGGTACACTTCAACTGTGAGAGACAGAATCTAAAACAAAAATCCAGAAAATCACATTGTATGATTTTTAAGTAATTAATTTGCATTTTATTGCATGACATAAGTATTTGATCACCTACCAACCAGTAAGAATTCCGGCTCTCACAGACCTGTTAGTTTTTCTTTAAGAAGCCCTCCTGTTCTCCACTCATTATCTGTATTAACTGCACCTGTTTGAACTCGTTACCTGTATAAAAGACACCTGTCCACACACTCAAACAGACTCCAACCTCTTCACAATGGCCAAGACCAGAGAGCTGTGTAAGGACATCAGGGATAAAATTGTAGACCTGCACAAGGCTGGGATGGGCTACAGGACAATAGGCAAGCAGCTTGGTGAGAAGGCAACAACTGTTGGCGCAATTATTAGAAAATGGAAGAAGTTCAAGATGACGGTCAATCACTCTCGGTCTGGGGCTCCATGCAAGATCTCACCTCGTGGGGCATCAATGATCATGAGGAAGGTGAGGGATCAGCCCAGAACTACACGGCAGGACCTGGTCAATGACCTGAAGAGAGCTAGGACCACAGTCTCAAAGAAAACCATTAGTAACACACTACGCCGTCATGGATTAAAATCCTGCAGCGCGCGCAAGGTCCCCCTGCTCAAGCCAGCGCATGTCCAGGCCCGTCTGAAGTTTGCCAATGACCATCTGGATGATCCAGAGGAGGAATGGGAGAAGGTCATGTGGTCTGATGAGACAAAAATATAGCTTTTTTTTTTACAACCCCAAGAACACCATCCCAACCGTGAAGCATGGAGGTGGAAACATCATTCTTTGGGGATGCTTTTCTGCAAAGGGGACAGGACGACTGCACCGTATTGAGGGGAGGATGGATTAGGCCATGTATCGCGAGATCTTGGCCAACAACCTCCTTCCCTCAGTAAGAGCATTGAAGATGGGTCGTGGCTGGGTCTTCCAGCATGACAACGACCCGAAACACACAGCCAGGGCAACTAAGGAGTGGCTCCGTAAGAAGCATCAAGGTCCTGGAGTGGCCTAGCCAGTCTCCAGACATGAACCCAATAGAAAATCTTTGGAGGGAGCTGAATGTCCGTATTGCCCAGCGACAGCCCCGAAACCTGAAGGATCTGGAGAAGGTCTGTATGGAGGAGTGAGCCAAAATCCCTGCTGCAGTGTGTGCAAACCTGGTCAAGACCTACAGGAAACGTATGATCTCTGTAATTGCAAACAAAGGTTTCTGTACCAAATATTATGTTCTGCTTTTCTGATGTATCAAATACTTATGTCATGCGATAAAATGCAAATTAATTACTTAAAAATCATACAATGTGATTTTCTGGATTTTTGTTTTAGATTCCGTCTCTCACAGTTGAAGTGTACCTATGATAAAAATTACAGACCTCTACATGCTTTGTAAGTAGGAAAACCTGCAAAATCAGCAGTGTATCAAATACTTGTTCTCCCCAGTGTGTGTGTGTATATATAAATAGATATATACACACACACACTGCTCAAAAGAATTAAGGGAACACTTAAACAACACATCCTAGATTTGAATGAATGAAATAATCTTATTAAATACTGTTTTTTTACATAGTTGAATGTGCTGACAACAAAATCACACAAAAAATTATCAATGGAAATCAAATGTATCAACCCATGGAGGTCTGGATTTGGAGTCACCCTCAAAATTAAAGTGGAAAACCACACTACAGGCTGATCCAACTTTGATGTAATGTCCTTACAACAAGTTAAAATGAGGCTCAGTAGTGTGTGTGGCCTCCACGTGCCTGTATGACCTCCCTACAACGCCTGGGCATGCTCCTGATGAGGTGGCGGATGGTCTCCTGAGGGATCTCCTCCCAGACCTGGACTAAAGCATCCGCCAACTCCTGGACAGTCTGTGGTGCAACATGGCGTTGGTGGATGGAGCGAGACATGATGTGCTCAATTGGATTCAGGTCTGGGGAAAGGGCGGGCCAGTCCATAGCATCAATGGCTTCCTCTTGCAGGAACTGCTGACACTCCAGCCACATGAGGTCTAGCATTGTCTTGCATTAGGAGGAACCCAGGGCCAACCGCACCAGCATATGGTCTCACAAGGGGTCTGAGGATCTCATCTCGGTACCTAATGGCAGTCAGGCTACCTCTGGCGAGCACATGGAGGGCTGTGTGGCCCCCTAAAGAAATGCCACCCCAGACCATGACTGACCCACCGCCAAACCGGTCATGCTGGAGGATGTTGCAGGCAGCAGAACATTCTCCACGGCATCTCCAGACTCTGTCACGTCTGTCACATGTGCTCAGTGTGAACCTGCTTTCATCTGTGAAGAGCACAGGGCGCCAGTGGCGAATTTGCCAATCTTGGTGTTCTCTGGCAAATGCCAAACGTCCTGCACGGTGTTGGGCTGTAAGCACAACCCCCACCTGTGGACGTCGGGCCCTCATACCACCCTCATGGAGTCTGTTTCTGACCGTTTGAGCAGACACATGCACATTTGTGGCCTGCTGGAGGTCATTTTGCAGTGCTCTGGCAGTGCTCCTCCTGCTCCTCCTTGCACAAAGGCGGAGGTAGCGGTCCTGCTGCTGGGTTGTTGCCCTCCTACGGCCTCCTCCACGTCTCCTGATGTACTGGCCTGTCTCCTGGTAGCGCCTCCATGCTCTGGACACTACGCTGACAGACACAGCAAACCTTCTTGCCACAGCTCGCATTGATGTGCCATCCTGGATGAGCTGCACTACCTGAGCCACTTGTGTGGGTTGTAGACTCCGTCTCATGCTACCACAAGAGTGAAAGCACCGCCAGCATTCAAAAGTGACCAAAACATCAGCCAGTAAGCATGGAACTGAGAAGTGGTCTGTGGTCACCACCTGCAGAACCACTTCTTTATTGGGGGTGTCTTGCTAATTGCCTATAATTTCCACCTGTTGTCTATTCCATTTGCACAACAGCATGTAAAATGTATTGTCAGTGTTGCTTCCTAAGTGGACAGTTTGATTTCACAGAAGTGTGATTGACTTGGAGTTACATTGTGTTGTTTAAGTGTTCCCTTTATTTTTTTGAGCAGTGTATTACAGTTGGAAGTTCACATTCACCTTAGCCAAATACATTTAAAAACTCAGTTTTTCACAACTCCTGACATTTTATCCTAGTAAAAATTCCCTGTCTTAGGTCAGTTAGGATCACCACTTTATTTTAAGAATGTGAAATGTCAGAATAATAGTAGAGAGAATGATTTATTTCTGTTTTTATTTCTTTCATCACATTCCCAGTGGGTCAGAAGTTTACATACACTCAATTAGTATTTGGTAACATTGCCTTTAAATTGTTTAACTTGGGTCAAACGTTTTGGGTAGCCTTCCACAAGCTTCCCACAATAAGTTGGGTGAATTTTGGCCAATTCCTCCTGACAGAGCTGGTGTAACTGAGTCAGGTTTGTAGGCCTCCTTGCTCGCACACGCTTTTTCAATTCTGCCCAAAAATGTCCTATAGGATTGAGGTCAGGGCTTTGTGATGGCCACTCCAATACCTTGACTTTGTTGTCCTTAAGCCATTTTGCCACAACTTTGGAAGTATGCTTGGGGTCATTGTCCATTTGGAAGACCCATTTGCGACCAAGCTTTAACTTCCTGACTGATGTCTTGAGATGTTGCTTCAATATATCCACATAATTTTCCTTCCTCATGATGCCATCTATTTTGTGAAGTGCACCAGTCCCTCCTGCAGCAAAGCATCCCCACAGCATGATGCTGCCACCCCTGTGCTTCACGGTTGGGATGGTGTTCTTCGACTTGCAAGCAACCCCCTTTTTCCTCCAAACATAACGATGGTCATTATGGCCAAACAGTTCTATTTTTGTTTCATCAGACCAGAGGACATTTCTCCAAAAAGTACAATCTTTGTCCCCATGTGCAGTTGCAAACCGTAGTCTGGCTTTTTTTATGGCGGTTTTGGAGCAGTGGCTTCTTCCTTGCTGAGCGGCCTTTCAGGTTGTCGATATAGGACTTGTTTTACTGTGGATATAGATACTTTTGTACCTGTTTCCTCCAGCATCTTCACATGGTCCTTTGCTGTTGTTCTGGGATTGATTTGCACTTTTCGCACCAACGTACGTTCTCTAGGAGACAGAACGCGTTTCCTTCCTGAGCGGTATGACGGCTGCGTGGTCCCATGGTGTTTATACTTGCGTACTATTGTTTGTACAGATGAACTTGTGACTTGTGGAGGTCTACCATTTTTTTCCTGTCTTGGCTGATTTCTTTTGATTTTCCCATGATGTCAAGCAAAGAGGCACTGAGTTTGAAGGTAGGCCTTGAAATACATCCACAGGTACACCTCCAATTGACTCAAATGATGTCAATTAGCCTATCAGAAGCTTCTAAAGCCATGACATTATTTTCTGGAATTTTCCAAGCTGTTTAAAGGCACAGTCAACTTAGTGTATGTAAACTTCTGACCCACTGGAATTGTGATACAGTTAATTATAAGTGAAATAATCTGTCTGTAAACAATTGTTGGAAAAATTACTTGTGTCATGCACAAAGTAGATGTCCTAACCGACTTGCCAAAACTATAGTTTGTTAACAAGAAATGTGTGGAGTCGTTGAAAAACGAGTTTTAATGACACCAACCTAAGTATGTAAACTTCCGACTTCAACTGTATGAGGGGAAAAAAGTATTTGATCCCCCGCTGATTTTGTACGTTTGCCCACTGACAAAGACATGATCAGTCTATAATTTTAATGGTAGGTTTATTTGAACAGTAAGAGACAGAATAACAACAAAAAAATCCAGAAAAACGCATGTCAAAAATTTTATGAATTGATATGCATTTTAAATGAGGGAAATAAGTATTTGACCCCTCTGCAAAACATGACTTAGTACTTGGTGGCAAAACCTTTGTTGGCAATCAGAGGTCAGACATTTCTTGTAATTTCCCGCTCAGCCCAGTCAAAACTGTTCGCTGCTCTGGCACCCCAATGGTGGAACAAGCTCCCTCAAGACGCCAGGACAGCGGAGTCACTCACCACCTTCCGGAGACATTTGAAACCCCACCTCTTTAAGGAATACCTGGGATAGGATAAAGTAATCCTTCTACCCCCCCCCCCCCCCCCCCCCCCCCCCCCCCCCCCCCCCCCCCCCCCCCCCCCCCCCCCCCCCCCCCCCCCCCCCCCCCCCCCCCTAAAAAAAAAAAGTGGTAAAGTGTAAAGTGGTTATCCCACTGGCTATAGGGTGAATGCACCAACTTGTAAGTCGCTCTGGATAAGAGCGTCTGCGAAATGACGTAAATGTAAATGTAGTTGGCCAACAGGTTTGCACACATCTCAGGAGGGATTTTGTCCCACTCCTCTTTGCAGATCTTCTCCAAGTCATTAAAGTTTTGAGGCTGACGTTTGGCAACTCGAACCTTCAGCTCCCTCCACAGATTTTCTATGGGATTAAGGTCTGGAGACTGGCTAGGCCACTCCAGGATCTTAATGTGCTTCTTCTTGAGCCATTCCTTTGTTGCCTTGGCCGTGTGTTTTGGGTCATTGTCATGCTGGAACACCCATCCACGACCCTTTTTCAATGCCCTGGCTGAGGGAAGGAGGTTCTCACCCAAGATTTGACGGTACATGGCCCCGTCCATCGTCCCTTTGATGCGTTGAAGTTGTCCTGTCCCCTTAGCAGAAAAACACCCCCAAAGCATAATGTTTCCACCTCCATGTTTGACGGTGGGGATGGTGTTCTTGGGGTCATAGGCAGCATTCCTCCTCCTCCAAACACGGCGAGTTGAGTTGATGCCAAAGAGCTCCATTTTGGTCTCATCTGACCACAACACTTTCACCCAGTTCTCCTCTGAATCATTCAGATGTTCATTGGCAAACTTCAGACGGGCCTGTATATGTGCTTTCTTGAGCAGGGGGACCTTGCGGGCGCTGTAGTATTTCAGTCCTTAACGGCGTAGTGTGTTACCAATTGTTTTCTTGGTGACTATGGTCCCAGCTGCCTTGAGATCATTGACATGATCCTACCGTGTAGTTCTGAGCAGATTCCTCACCATTCTCATGATCATTGCAACTCCACGAGGTGAGATCTTGCATGGAGCCCCAGGCCGAGGGAGATTGACAGTTATTTTGTGTTTCTTCCATTTGCGAATAATCGCACCAACTGTTGTCACCTTCTCACCTTCTCACCAAGCTGCTTGGCGATGTTCTTGTAGCCCATTCCAGCCTTGTGTAGGTCCACAATCTTGTCCCTGACATCCTTGGAGAGCTCTTTGGTCTTGGCCATGGTGGAGAGTTTGGAATCTGATTGATTGATTGCTTCTGTGGACAGGTGTCTTTTATACAGGTAACAAGATGAGATTAGGAGCACTCCCTTTAAGAGTGTGCTCCTAATCTCAGCTCGTTACCTGTATAAAACACACCTGGGAGCCAGAAATCTTTCTGATTGAGAGGGGGTCAAATACTTATTTTCCTCATTAAAATGCAAATCAATTTATAACATTTTTGACATGCATTTTTCTGGACTTTGTTGTTGTTACTCTGTCTCTCACTGTTCAAATAAACCTACCATTAAAATTATAGACTTATCATTTCTTTGTCAGTGGGCAAACGTACAAAATCAGCAGGGGATCAAATACATTTTTCCCCTCACTGTATGTATGTATAGTGTATAAGAAAGCTCAGGAAAAGTTTTGGACACATTTTTAACCCCTTTTTTTGTTGGCACAAAACTAACTCCATACGTCCATTCATTAACCGGTGCCGGGTTACCTTCAGACAAGTCACGTGATATTTGTGGGTGTCGTAGAGCAAAACAGAGAGCACCATTGTGTTCGTGAGAATCTCCCATTTCCATAGTTTGTAGCCCAAACAGTTCAGGTGTTTTAGTGAGAAGACTGATTTTTTGGGATGCCTCAGTCTGACAAACACCGCTGTAGCTCAGCCACCTTCCACCGCAGATGCGCAAGGCCGACATGGTGGATTGAGACGCGGCCCATGCAAAAAAAACATCTCTAGCTTAAACGGACAGATTTTGATGTGGATTTTTTAACGATACTTAAATTGACACAGTAGACTATAAGGATTAATAGGAAGATGGAGAGGGACCCAGAGAGAGGAGGGTGGTCTTGACCTGGTCTTGGCCTCTTGGACCTGTATGGGGTTCTTGAGCACAGAGTCCCAGGGCAGCGCCCCACACAACCAGTGGAGCAGACAGAAGCCCAACACCTCCAGGTCTCCACGTCTAGATGGCGCTACAGAGAGAGGGAGAGAGAGTAGAAGATCAGAACCTGGTCTGGCAGGATAAAAACAGCTTCGATTGAGGGGCTGTGTTCAGATATAAAACAGTATGCAGAGAGAGAGTAAAGAGGATGACGATTATGGAGGGAGTGTAGGCCTGTTTTGTTTTCTCAGCTGGTGTTAGTCTTTCAACTTTTCCCATCCTCTGCAGACAGACAGGGCTTTCCTGTTCCAGGAAACTGGATCCTTGTGGCCTCTGTCATGATTCAGACGCCCGCTGCACGGCCTAAACACACACACTTATACACTCGATCGCGCTCTCAAACACTCCCTCTCTCAGGCAGTAAAACACACACACAGAGATGTCTACACCCAAATCAATACCACATGTTACAGAAGTCGACAGGGTGCTGTACACTGGGGAGATACCTAAATACTAAATACTGATGATGGCTAGACTAGACATTAACCTGTAGACTTGCATCGTTGTAAACAATGCCTTCCATCTAGTTTTAATACAAGGAAGTGAACAAACCCTGCACTGAGCCAGTGTCTTTATGAAAAACTGTGGTGAGTTCATCAATACGTCTGGATTGAGTCCATGTGAGGGGTCGAGCCCGAGGAGTTTTAGCAGCTCAATACTGTAACGGCCGTGCGTCTCCGGAGAAATTACCCATCGACTGGCTTCGTCAGAGTGAGAAATCTCAAGCAAGAGCCATGGCTAGCATTGATCCCAGACAGTGTTCCCAATTAAACAGGCTGCTGCCACAGTGGCCGTCAGCAGCGGAACCCAGCAGGACAGCACTACTGGCTAGCCTTGAGACGGACGATAGAGGTTGGTTGATTGTGGTTGTTGTTGGTTGGTAAGTTGTAGTTAGATGTTGTTGGTTGGTTGCCACTGCTGCTGCTGCCTCTGTTGTTGCCTTCAACATTTTTGTGATTAAGCCGTTTGTTTAAATAATTTACTGAATCAATTCTCTCAAGGGTGGAAGTTGTAAAGTACTTAAAGTGTATAGGTCAGCGTTACAGTAAATGTATTGCTGCCACTTCTAAGTAAGCCATTGTTGTAAACAATTACATAAAGCCTTATTGATACTGAGAGGCAGATAAGAGGGAATAAAGATGAAAAACACAAGTAACACCAGCACTCAAACTGCGCCAACTTCCACAGCCACAGAATAGATTAACAATTAAAAAGATCAACAACTACGTTAAGCACCAGTGGCGTGCTTTGACCATATTGTCCCTGTTCACAATAGCTTATCCTTTGCTGTTTGGTTGTGTATTTATGCATCTTTCCCTAATGAGAGGGCAGGACACACACAGCTCTCTCACATGCGCAAACACACACTAGATACACAGACAAAAGCATTCATGCATATGCGCACACACACACACTTACTTCAGAAGGTGAATCTCAGAGCCCCCCACACACTCCAGGCTTGTCACAGAGGAGTTAGGTGACGATGTTGTGGGTAGTTATCTACTATTGTTATTCAGATTTTCACTCTTAAACCTCTCCTTCGGAATCTCCGTGTTCCGAAGCATCCATCTCCAATAGGTGATAATTAGCTCAGAGTTAAGTGATGCATCACTCTGTTCTATCTCCACCCTCATCATGGCAACCTGTCAACATCTACCCAGCCAGGGTGATGAGAGGTGAGATGGAGGGCGGGATCTTGAGCAAAAAGTAGTCTTGTTGCTCGTCAAAATCTGCATGCATCTCTATTGCTATTTGAACCAAAGAAACTCAAACTGCCTTACACCGTAGAGGTCAAGTAAGACCAGCCATCATATAAAATTTAGCCACCTAGAATATAATTTCTGGTTTGTTTATAAACTGTAGACAAAAACAGAAACTTTACCTGATTGTACTCTTGATTGACTCTTTTCAATAGTAGAGTACTGTAGGCCCAACGGAAGTTATATCAAAGGACTGATGATTATCAGTGGTTAGAAGGTCAGTGCATAAGCGCATACTCACCGGACAGTTTATTAGGTACACCACCCCGTTCACAAAAATAGATCGCTCCTACAGACAGTGAGTCACATGGCCATGGCTTGCTATATAAAGCATGCAGACAGGCATTAAGTTACTGTTCGATTGAACGTTAGAATGGGCGAAACTAGTGACCCAAGCGCCTTTGAGCGTGGTATGATCTTCGGTGCCAGGTGCGCCGAATCAAGTATCACAGAAACGGCCGCCCTCCTGGGCTTTTCACGCACAACAGTTTCTAGGGTTTACCAAGAATGGTGCGACAAACAAACATCCAGTCATCGGCAGTCCTGTGGGCGAAAACAGCTCGTTGATGAGAGCGGTCGAAGGAGAATGGCAAGAATCGTGCAAGTTAACAGGTGGGCCACAAACAGACAAATAACGGCGCAGTACAACAGTGATGTGCAGAATGGCATCTCAGAACGCACAACTCATCGGTCCTTGTCACGGATGGGCTATTGCAGCAGACGACCACACTGGATTCCACTCCAATCAGCTAAAAACAAGAAGAAGCAGCTCCAGTTGGCACACAATCACCAACACCGGACAATTGAGGAGTGGAAAACGTTGCCTGGAACATGACAGCGAGTTCAGTTTACTTGAATGGCCTGCACAGTCTCCAGACCTCAACCCAATAGAGCATCTTTGGGATGAGATGGAACAGGCTGTTAGCAGCATGAATGTACCGTCATCCAATCTGCAGCAACTGCATGATGCCATCGTGTCAGCATGGATCAACATCCCTGTGGAACGTTTCCGACACCTTGTAGAATTCCCTGAAGAATTCAGGCTGTTCTGGAGGCAAAGGGGGTCCAACCCGGTACTAGATGGGTGCATGTAATAAACTGGCCAGTGAGTGTACATCTTCATCTTATACCTACTTTGGTTTGTAGAATATGCATGACCCCTGGGCTATAGAAGCAAAGGAATGATTCACCTGTACAACAGCTTCTGTTTTGTTTTTGTTTGTTTTTTTGCTCCTGAACTCCTTCTACTCTCAACCTCTCCGATCATTTTCATGATGTCCATCCGAAAATGCTTCTACTGTTAAGCGAAGACCAAAGGCTTGGAATGATACAGTATATGTGACATGATAACAAATTGCACTAGATGAGAGTGTGGTGTACTTCTATGTAGGTCTGTAAAAGAGCAGACCTGTGTTTAAACCAGTCCTGTGATTTAAATGGCATTCCTATCCGAACCTCTTGTTAAATTAAATACACAGCCATAGAGCAACGACTCAGAACATGTTGAAGCATGTTCCGCCTGCCACATTTTAGCTTGTATGCAACTGTGAATTACAATACATCGGGCCCAACATACACCTCTTGATTCAGAGAACCGAACAAAAAACCACAAGTTCAGCATTGTTACCACACCACCCTCTTCGCGCTATAAAACATTAAACGCGTTTCCCTTTATCAATATCGCTGACTGAGCATCTTGTCTGTTTTCGTTCATATGGACAGCATCGATAGAAACAGTTGCATGGCGATTAGGGAGTCTTAGCCACACTCGTTCAGCATATCGAACCCTGACACCGTCCTCTGCCCTTAGCAAACAGAGGTTATCAGTGGCCAGTCCCTCTCTAACCAAACATCAAAGCTTTAATTAATGGGGGATGAATACACGATGCAGGTTATGACTTTAGCTAATTAGGGGATTTTTTTATGGAGTCTGTGTCGGGGAATACGGGGCCGGGAGAATCAATGTCCAATAAAAAAGGACCATGTACGCAATTTGCCAGCTAATGTGTTCCCGATATCTACTGAGGGAGGTTTTATAGCAAGGAACGAACGGTGGTTAACTTTATGCATTATGCATTGATAAACAAGTACACTGCCAACTGAAAGATACTGTAACGCAGTAAGTATACACAGCAAGATACATCCATGCGAGATCATTGGACATACAGTCAATACAAGTGAGCTCTATTGTCCACCAATTCTTATATGTTTACCCAGAAACCTTGCCCTTTCACTACACAATTGTTGTTTTTTGGCACCTGAAACTATGAGTGTTCATATCAATGAAATCCCACTTTACCGACTCCATTGTGGGCATCTATGCTGGTGTACTCTACAGTTCCATTGTGTCCCTTCTTTGGGTTCTCTTTGTACTCTTTGTGTACTCCGTCTGGGCTGTACCTGTAGGACAGGCCGTAGTCAGCCAGGTACACCTGCAATACAGGAAATAAACAGACAGTATGTGTAGAGAAGTCAGCCCACATACAAGTAAAAGCAACATACACATTGCTCAATGTTAATACAGTTAGTAACGGTCTTCTACGTATGTTTTATACACCGTACAAGAAATGCCCTGAATACACATGCCTACTGTTCTGAGACAGTGCTAGCGCTAACCTTGTCAGGGTCTGTGTGACCAAGCATCAGGTTGGCAGCCTTTATGTCTGCATGGACATACTCGTTGTCATGGATATACTCAAGCACATCCAGCTGTAGGAGGACCAGGAGACAAAGAGTAGGTGAAATCTTTACATTCTATCTTGGGATATGCAGCCACGGATGATGAAGAGGATAACAGTTATTTTATTGTGTTACTTTTTATATATGATTTACTTTAGTTTATTTAGTAAATATTTTCTTAACTCTATTTTCTTAAAACTGCATTGTTGGTTAAGGTCTTATAAGTAAGCATTTCACGGTAAGGTCTACACCTGTTGTATTCGGCACATGTGACAAATAAATGTTGATTTGAACAGAGGGAGAGACTCACCAGGACACGTCCTAGCTGTAGCACTGTGTGTTTCTTCAGCCTGCCACCGTTTCTCTCACACACCTTCTGCAGATCACTGCCCAGGCGGTCCATAACCATGAACCTGTACCTGAATTGTAAATAAGAATTTGTTCTTAATTGAGTACAGGGCAAAGGTCAAGGATAAGGGGTAAAATCATCTCTGACACACTTCTCAACCACAAAGCGAGGGATTATTAACTAAGTATCGATGCCTTCTTCATCATCATGACCATCACTACACCATTTCATGTCAGTAGTACCTGGTTCCGTTGTATTCTGCCAGTCCTGATCCCCAGTATGCAGGGATCCCCAGAAAATCCAGCTTATTGCTCCTCTTCCAGCTCTGCACTGAAACAACAGGACAGAATTACAAGGGCCAAAAATGGTATCTTACATACTATATTTACAGCACCCAATGTCACAGGAAGGCCAAAAAGATTATCAAGGCCATCAACCACCCGAGCCATGGCCTGTTCGCCCCGCTATCATCCAGAAGGAGAGGTCAGTACAGGTGCATCAAAGCTGGGACCGAGAGACTGAAAAACAGCTTCTATCTCAATGCCATCAGACTGTTAAATAGCCATCACTAGCCGAGTACCCCAACACTGCACCTTAAGAGGCTGTTGCCCTATAGACATAGAATCACTGGCCACTTTAATAATGTTTACATACTTCCTTTACTTATCTCATATGTATATACTGTATTCTTTTCTACTGTATTTAGTCAATGCCACTCCGAAATTGCTCGTCCTAATATTTATATATTTCTTAATTACATTATTTTACTTTTAGATATGTGTATTGCTGTGAATTGTTAGACACTACTGCACTGTTGGTGCTAGGAACACAAGCATTTCGCTACACCCGTCACCCGCAATAACATATGCTACATATGTGAATGTGACCAAAAAAAGAGTGCAAAAACAGACATTTGCTCATTTGCGTTATTGCTTTATGAATTACTTGTTGCTCTCATTATTTACCCTTATGCTATTTTGTTGTATTCCATCTGAAAAGTAGCAGGTGCACAACTGGTGATGAGCAAATATGGCCAAGTGCCCAAGATACAATCCTAGAGGACCTGAGCCTTTGGTCTTAAAAGTGGTGCAACAAATTAGGACATGATGTGGTTTTAATTACTGTGGATTCAGGTTGACTCGGTCTGAACTGTTCACAAAAACACATATGACCACTTAAAGACAGAGGAAATAAGGTGGATACGTCTAAGCCAGACACAATCGTGCACTTCTAAATCACAGACACAGAAACGCACACAGTGAACAGGAGGCCTGTCTTGGAGTGGTGGCTGGCTCTCAACCAGACTGGCAGGTGGTCAGGGGCCCAGCAGAGGAGCAGGCATCATTATGTGTGATTGGGTCCCTCTCTATGAATTAGAGCTCAAACAAGCAGGGAAGGGGCTAACTGCCACTGAGGTGCATGTTTGCTTTGGCTTATTAATTACACCAGGCAGCAGTCTTCATGTCTATGGGCACTTCATCAGCCAAGTACACTCCTGCTGCACTGGGCCTGGCCACTCATTTAAGACGTAGCCTAAAATAGGTTTGGTTGTAACCATACAGTATGTAGCCTATGTGGGATATAGGCTATGAACTCTTGGCCATATTTCTGCTGCATCATGATGTTGACTGATTGAATTTGTTGATACTCACTGTTCTCAGGTTTAGCTGCCCTCTGATAGAACTTGAGCTCAGAAAACAGAGGCCCATTCTCATAGTACTCCTGCAGACACAATTAAATAAGAGGGTCAAATAAGAGGAAATAGAAATGCTGAGAACTATTGCATGTGACTGCCGTAAAATTATAGGTTTATTTATAAGTGTATTAACCCAGCAGTTCCTTATTATACCTCCCCATATCCAATCAAATCCAGTAAGCAGAGAGCAAGCAAGAGAGAAAGACAAAGTCAAAGAGCAAGAGAGCTTTACAGTAAATTATTGTGGTTAAGTCAAACTGTCAATCACCTCTTGAGTTTATCTCTGAACAAATGGCAATGCGTATACAGTGATGGAAATGCCCTGACTCACAACACAGCCATTCCTGTACTCACCACTTTAATCACAAAATGAGAGTCCTCCCCAACAGGCTTGGCCACGTCCTGCGAAGCTGAAGGGAGGAAGAAGGGCGAGTGAGAGAGAAAGGTAGGAGATGGAAAAAAAGAGGGAGGAGAGAGAAAAGAAAACTGAGGGACACAGAGATAAATAAACCATGATAAACATGACAGTAATTTGGCATCAATCAGATGTACTCCAGTGTTTATGCTCGGTTGGTAATGCGTTTGCACCAAAAACACAAATCAGTGATTCCTGGTAAAATAACATTTGCCTCACCACTCTTGTCACTCAGAGGGATATGTGTGTGTGTGTGTGGCAAAGTTTATTTGACAATCAGTGATACCTTGATGGATTGACATACTAGTCTGGTTACTTACCTAGGTAGATCAATCCAAAGCCTCCTTGACCAATCATTCTGCCCAGTCTCCATTGCTTCTTCTCGGTGTCAGTCAGTATCAAACTGTCTGGTAGGGGTGCAGGCAATGCTCGTTTCCTTGGAGGGGCCATGGGGCTAGCTAGCAATAGGAACCTATTTGGGGGTTACAGAGAATCAACTTAGTTGGCTGGCAATAGTCATTTATGGTAATTTACAGACAGACTATTGACATGTGGTCAACAAATGCAACTATAGCCACCTAGTTAGCTTGCAAAGTAGAGAGCGGGTATATAGACCCGTAATAAATCCAGAAACAAAACTGAAAGTCAGTTAAATCTGGAAACTGGCCAGCAGATTAGCTAGCTAGCTACTACCTATAGCTACTGCAAACAAACGGACTATTTCGAACAAACTAGCTAGCTCTCCCTACAAAGAGCTAGTTAGCTAGCAAAACAATATATTCGATTCATTTGGCTCGGTGGCATTGCACAGTTCAGTGTCAATTTGTTCTTAGCAAGATACCTAGCTAGATAACTACTACAAAAATGAAACATCTAGCGATACATTACCATTAGAGTTAAGCAGATTTTCCGTGAAATGTATCAGAGACCTAGGAAGCGATGGCGCTGGATATTCAACCGCCAATGACTGCTAACTAGAGGCGGAACGTTGACAGGGCATGTGCCATACAGGTTCACAGTGCTGTCAGTCATTTTAAAACCTCTGACCTGAGGTGCGTTCAGTAGGGTGCAATGTTACAGAACGTTCTGGTAAAACTACGTAGAACAGAAACGCTATGTCATTTAGATTAGTCCAGAGAATCGTATCAATTTGATTGATATATTTGTAAGAAAGACACTTATGCTGTGTTAGACAGGCAGCCCAATGACAAACGTGCATAAAGATGGCAGAATTCAGATATGACGTCAACGTTTTAGCACTATCCACTGAGTTTTTAAACTACAGGTTGCGATATGGTTCAATGTGCCAATAAATTCTAATTTATGTAATTATTTATAAAGCCATTTATACATTAGCAGATGTCACAAAGTCCTATACAGAAACCCAGCCTAAAACCACAACAGCAAGCAATGCAGATGTAGAAGCATGGTGGCTAGGAAAAACTCCCTAGAAAGGCAGGTGCCCAGTCCTCTTCTGGCTTTGTCGGGTGGAGATTATAAGAGTACATGGCCATTTAAGGCCAGATTGTTCTTCAAGATGTTCAAATGTTCATAGATGACCAGCAGGGTCAAATAATAATCACAGTGGTTGTAGAGGGTGCAACAGGTCTGTACCTCAGGAGTAAATGTCAGTTGGCTTTTCATAGCGGAGCATTCAGAGGTCGAGACAGTAGGTGCGGTAGAGAGAAAGAGTCGAAAACAGCAGGTAGCACGTCCGGTGAACAGGTCAGGGTTCCGTGCCGCAGGCAGAACAGTTGAAACTGGATATAACAGACTGACCCTAGCCCCCCCGGCACATAGACTATTGCAGCATAGATACTGGAGACTGAGACAGGGGTGGGTCGGGGGACACTGTGGCCCCGTCCGACCACTGTTGCCAACTCCTCAGTAAGGAAAGTAGCTATTGGCTGTCTAAAAGTCGCTAGAAGTCGCTAAATGACGTCATCACCTAATTTGCATAATTGGCCATGTGCATGTAATTGTGATGGACACTGTAGGAGAGAGGAATAATGTCGTGGGAGAGACAAAAAGTGAGTAAAAAACACCCTACATTTACATCCTGCCCTGAATGTAAGCCAGGGTGGGATCAGCCAGCGGCGGCTTCCCGCATGCGCGATTCATTTGCAGTCTGGACGCGGAGGGGTGAACATCTCCTGCTCTGACTGCAGCTGGGAGGGACTGCTGCGTGAGGACTGGGCCGCCTGTGAGTGCTTTGGGACGGGGGTGGGGCCCGGGTGGGGCCTGGGTCAGCACCCGCTGCTCGTTGAGAAGAGTAAGAACGATACATGCTTTCATGTCAGAGTCTCCAAAAGTCTCCAATAACACCAGAAAATGTCGCTAGATTTGTCGCTAGTCACTTTTTTGAAAATGTGTCGCTAGAGGGGTCTGAAAACTCGCTAAATATTGCGTCAAAGTCGCTAAATTGGCAACACTGCGTCCAACGATACCCCCAGACAGGGCCAACCAGGCAGGATATAACCCCACCCACTTTGCCAAAGCACAGCCACCACACCACTAGAGGGATATCAACAGACCACCAACTTACTACCTTGAGACAAGGCTGAGTATAGCCCACGAAGATCTCCTCCACCACACGAGCCCGAATAAATCAGCACAATCGACTTTTTCTGTTTTTGAAATTGCCAGCATCTTAAAGCTGAAATTGGTATCATGTATACTCTGCTAATGACCATACAAAAAAAGAGTAATGGAGAGCAATGTACAATATGGCGAACTTAGCAAAAGGAGGAATATGTGGTAAGTGCATGGGGGGCGCTAGCCCAAGATGTCCTATTAAGGAGCCTACGGTTACACCCCTTAAGGTCCAAGGATCTTATGTTATTTTCAGAGGTAGACTGACTCTGGCAGCCAAAACAGCCAAATACTCCATCTAAACGTGAATCGAATCTCAATTGCGATACGGTTCTAGAAACATAAAGCCCTTTACTTTCATGTCACATCAAAATAATTAAACGAATTAAAATATTCACTTATTGTACACTGTTGTAACCGGCTTTATCACAGTTGCAACCAACAGTATTTTTCAGTGACAACAATTTCTGCCGTCCTTCTTCCATTACACACAGGTGTTCGGAGCATGCTAGATAGCTAACTAGCGCAGGTGGTCCCTCTGTCTTCCATAAACACGCACTGTAACATGGAGATATGGCCGTCTGGGAACACTGAACTTAACCGTATAAAAGGTGAGTATCAATTTAACCTTTTGTTTTTTGAAAATGATTTCTCATTGATATGAAAGATAAGGTCCTAATGCTTCCAAAACTGTACTGCAAGTGATGCATAGTAATGTTCAGACCGAGCATCGGGGATCTTAACAAAACCCCATACAGAAGACACCTTCGTCCGATGACTCTTATGTGTAATGTAATGGAACTGAGAGTCATCATGATCAAAGGATTTATGCACCTCCGCTATTCTGATTTTTTTCCCCAGATCTTTTTCAGTTGATCTGATTGGTCAAAAGACCAATTAGTTTTTTAAAAAACGATCAGAATTGGGCTGCCTGGCTTGGCGGGGTCGTGTTTCGGAGGACGCACGGCTCTCGACCTTCGCCTCTCCCGAGTCCGTACAGGATTTGCAGCGATGGGACAAGACTGTAACCACCAATTGGATATCACGAAATTGGGAGGAAAAGACAACAACATTTAAATAGATTTGGGCTGCCTGTCTAAACGTAGCATTAGTGTCAGTCTTTCTAATGGATGGCACTGGTGGAGTGGAAGGAGGGAGTCGTGGCACCAGGAATCCAAGTCTAGGGATTTCCTTTTCTTGGACGGCCTATAAGGCAAAATTCTTGCAGAAACTTTGTACAAAAATAGTGTGACCTAGCCCTTGATCATGACTCTCAGTTCCATTACATTACACATAAAAGTCATTGGACGAAAGGCGTCTCCTGTAGGGGAGAGTTTTGTTAAGAACCGCGAAGCTCGGTCTGAACATTAACACGCATCGCTTGCAGTACGGTTTTGGAAGCATAAAGATCTTTCATAGCGGTGAGAAATAATTTTCAAAAAATAAAAGGTTAAATTGATACACACCTTTATGGGGTTAGGGTTCCCACACGGCCATATTTCCATGTTACAGCGCTTGTTTACGGAAAACAGATGGAAGACAGAGTGGACTACCTTTCTTCCTCACCGAACACCTGTGTGTAAATGGAAGACACCACAAATGTGTTATCACTGACAAAAACTATTCTGATGTGATATGAAAGTAGAGGGATTTATGTTTCTAGATCCGTACAGCAATTGAGAATCAATTCACATTTAGATGGAATATTTGGCTGTTTTGGCTTTTAGAGCCATTTCGCCCTTTAAACAGAACACATAAGGTCCTTGGACTAAGGAGTAATGTTAGTGTCACGTCCTGGCTCTGGGGACTTTTATATGTTGAGCCAGGGTGTTAGTTTCTATGTGTTAGTTTCTGGGTGTTAGGTTCTATGTTTCGTTTTCTATGTTCTTGTTCTAGTTTATGTGTTTCTATGTTGGCCGGGGTGGTTCCCAATTAGAGACAGCTGTGGCTCGTTGTCTCTGATTGGGAACCATACTTAGGCAGCCTGTTGTGCACTTGTCTTTTGTGGGATCTTGTTCCGTGTAGGTTTGTGTTTATGACCAGTGGTGCGAGTGGCGCAGTGGTCTAAGGCACTGCATCGCAGTGCTAGCTGTGCCACTAGAGATCCTGGTTCGAATCCAGGCTCTGTCGTAGCCGGCCGCGACCGGGAGACTCATGGGGCGGCGCACAATTGGCCCGGCATCGTCCAGGGTAGGGGAGGGAATGGCTGGCAGGGATGTAGCTTAGTTGGTAGAGCATGGCGTTTGCAACACCAGGGTTGTGGGTTCGATTCCCACGGGGGGCCAGTATGAAAATAAATTAATAATGTATGCACTAACTGTAAGTCGCTCTGGATAAGAGCGTCTGCTAACTGACTGAAATGAAATGTATGACCGAGGGCTTGTTGCTGTGTGTAAGTACTCATTAAAAGATGTACGCATTTCACGCTGCGCCTTGGTCCAATCATTACGACGATCGTGACAGTTAGGCTCCTTTAGTCCAATATTGGGCTAAGTGTGACCTAGCTTTCTACAGGCCAGAAGGTTGAGGGTTCCCAAGCAGACCACCTCGGACAAGCTCTCTCCCTACCTGTTTAACTGCAATAGTTAAAAACAAAATTAAGTTGATTCATCAAAAGCGAAGCTAACTTGACTACTGCTTTCAATAATGATGACAATAAACCCTGCAAAAACCCTGGTTCTGCTGTAGGCTTCAAAAAGCCCCTGCTACCTCACCTGAGAGTGAGCATTACACCTGTGGGCTACACACAGCCACACTGCCCCAGTCTGATTCTGAAGTCTCCATAAAGCAGTAGTAGGCCTATTATCCATACGCTTGGCAGATACAAAAGCTGCTTTAAATGTTACGCCTAAACCTGGAAGATATCAAAGGAAGGTAGGCTCATGGGAGATTTTGACTATACAAGTGCACTCGCCTAGCCACACTAGCTTCGCCCTCATGTGGGTGCTAACAAGCTAGCAAGCAAGCTAGGTAGTGCTAGGTATCAACAGCCATTGTCAGACAATTCATTAGGGCCTTGAAGCTATGGTGAGCTTCGATTGGTCACTTTCGTCACAATATCGCAGAGGATTTCCATAAAGTTTTGCATTCTCAAACTTTAGTCCTGCCCTGTTCAGCACCCTCGCACATGCTCGCTTCGCTCAACGGTCCCCGCCCACTCCACTTGAATTTGAATGGCTTCGGATGTTTCATCGTACAATACCGCACTATATTAGCACGGGACGTAAATGTGGCTTCACATGCTCATGGGAAATGGTCAACTGGGAAGTCTGACATGATTGTGTTCAAGTGCTTTTGAACGCTCGATCAGCGTGCGCACAATCTTTCTTGGGCACACTACCTGCAGCTCGCTACTCCCCACCACTCTGTCCTGGAGAGAGAAACTAAAATAACAAAGACAAGATACAAGTTAATGCTAATGTTAGACAAGAGATGATCAA